AGGAAGAACCACAACACACAAACAGTACAGCCTGTTCCTGCCGGAGAGAGCTCACAGCTGCTGGAGGTGAGACGTGCAGCCAATTATCCTGCTTCGCTCACTACAAACGCTGTAGAATATGTCTGTAGAATATGTCTGTAGAATATGGCACGGTCTGAATTCTTCAATATTAGGATATAGCATTAAGAAGTTACTGATTGTATTTGTGAAATGATTTTGGAATGCATATTTTTCTGGAGCACTTTATATTACTCAATGTTTTTTCTTCCAACTCTGGTATTTCTATGGATTCAATCAAATTCAAATATCAAAACACGTTATCCGTATCATTTGTGTACCAATGGGGAAATACATGTGTGTACAGTGGATGTAATTCATAATTGTTTTGATAATCAATGGGTTTGTCGATTATTCATTTGATTAAGTGATGTTTTTTTGGATCATGAAAACCTTGTAACTATGGCATTTTTAAAAAGATTTGACAAAAATAGACCCAAACTAATGCAACTTCAGCACATCTTATAAGGGACAGGTTTAATTTCCTGATATACAAGTAAATACATCTCTGTTGGAAGTCACAAATCTTCCTCACAGCTTAAATTCATGGGTCTCAAACACGCGGCTCACATGCCATTTGCTTCCAGAAAAAAAGGCATTTTGCGGCCTCCAAGGGGACATCAAAGTTTAATGTCAGTGTGGCTCCAGGGCAAGGGTTGGCAAGTTTAATGTACAGCACAGTTTTTACACAAGGAAACTCAAAGAAGCATTCAAATCGCACATTATTGAGAGTTTGGGCTGATATGGGCTAACCAATTTAAAGCTAATTTTATGAAAAAAACAAGAGCTCCATTGATCACACACTGATACACAGGTGATTCAACAGGCATTTTAACTCGTAGCTAAAATTCTGATATTTTGTTGTAAATGTAATCAGATTGGCCTAAAGAGGTGATCTTCTTTACCAAATTCCCCTTGTTCTCATGATTCCAATAGTCTAAATGAACTTGTGATCCCACTTTCACCTCCACCACGTGATGGGACAGGCTTCACGGTGCCGTCATTAAATGTATCTGGGGAAGGGCAAACAGCCACGCCTTAAATTATCCACAGTGCAATATAACAGAGCTGCGGGCGGACTCTCACTTCCCAATTTGAATTTGTACCACTGGGCGTCTGTAGTGCGTCCTTTGTGTGCTTGGTTTGAAAGTTTAGTTGAGGTGAGTTGGCAATCTGTGGATAAAGCAATGTCGCATCCATTGGGGTTTGTGTTATTTGCAATACTACCTAAGTGCTGTGTACATTGTTGGTGTACATCAGAATGATTGTTTTTGCCACGGTGAGTAACAGGAAGTCACAAACTAGGAAGTTGCAATGTAGTCTGGCGTTCTGCTGAAAATACATTTAATAAAATGGAAATGAAATGGAATCCTGACTCCTATATTTTTAACAACTGTGACATTCTTTGTGTTAATGTAAGTTACTTTTCAAATTGTGAAACGAGAGTGAGAAAATATTGAGATGCACCAGTTAGACTTGACCGCGCTCATTCCCAAAGCTTCCTGATTGAACAAAATAAATTCAAATTCTTGTTCTTAGTCTAACTATTCCCATCCAGAAAACCTTACTAGAGGTAAATAAGCCATGAGGGGTGACAATATGTGATGTATGCATGTTTTAAAATACTCACTTTGAATGATAGTACAGGTTCATATGGTCAAAAACTTGTAATTTTCGTAAAAATGGTATCAAATCGAAGTGACTGACATGCCCTATAAGCATTCTCAATGTGAAAATTGGTTTGAGAGAGGCATGGTGGTACTGTGGTTAGCGCTTTTGTCCTGGGTTTGATTCCACCTCCAGACCTTTCTGTGTGGAGTTTGCATGATCTACCTGAGTCTGCGTAGGTTTCCTCCAGGTGCGCCGGTTTCCCCTACCACTAATAATACGTATAAAGGTCTGGAATGTGCCTTCTGTACAGCAACCCTGCGTTCATCTCTGTGTGGAGTGAGAGACAATTGCCCAAAGCAATTTTAAAGCGCTTTGTGACTCTGGTCTGTGAAAGGTGCTATATAATAAAGATTATACTTACTTACTATATGTTTCCTTAATGACATGTCTGTTCCTCAAAAGTCCAGACTATATGTATGTCTATCTGCGTTCGTTGCATCATGTCCCAAAAACTGCAACTGCTATGCTTGGACTGCATAGACACTGTTTTTAGACAAAGTCTCCCAGGACATCTCAAACAAATCCTCTCTCGTAGTACCCACAATGCATTGAGACACTATCTGAGTGCATATATACAATCACTATAGCACTAACTATCCCCCATCTACATACACACAGCAGCATCTTGCATAATAATCCTCCACAATGCTTCGTAGTAAACATGTCAGATTCTAGCACTGCTCCCTGCTATTTGCATAATCCCCTATAAAACCCCGTTCCTCTTTTGGCGTCCACTCGGCCCATCAATGATTAGCCCGATGATGAAGCCATTATTGAGTGAACCTGAGCTGAGCAGCATGGAACATTAAATACATCACTTCCCCTCCAGGGGCCGGCCTGTGCCTGGCTCTCCCTCCGGCTTCAGCCAGGAAATCCAAACAGCCATTAGCACCGAAGCTACGGTGGAGGGATGTTGGGTCTACATTATGTGCTATGAGTGCTGGAAACGCAGGCCTACACACTGGATAGGTGGTGTGCTCCTAGTCTGCTCTTACAATAGGCGAGGCAAGTTTATTTGTATGGCATAGTTCATACACAAGGAAACTGGAAGAGCTGAACAAAACAAGATAGAAACCGTCACACAAAGCATTAAAATCATATATAATCGCATACATTAAAAAGAGTGAAGTTAAAATCCCTCAGTTGTATGCACGGCTAAACAGAACTGTATTTAGCCTGGATTTGAATATTGTCAGAGAGGAGGCCTGTCTCACATTTAGACTGTTCTAGAATTTAGCTGCTCTGCATCTGAAATGCAGCCTCCCCGTTTAGTCCTGACTCTGGGCACCAGTAGAAGGCCAGTCCCTGTGCTACATACAACTGAGGGATTTTTATCTTCACTCTGTTTGATGTACTGTGTGTGACTGTTTCTATTTTGTTTTGTAAAGAATTTTGAGTTGCCTTGTATATGAACGGTGCTACACAATTAAACTTGCCTTACCTTCCCTTGCCTGCATATACATATAGATGGCAAACATACTGTATATGCTTGGTACAACTATAAGAACTACAATTGTGTCCAAAGAACTGATAGTTTGAGTCCAGCATTACCTATTTTGTTAACTAAACTAGCAATATAAACTTTAGACTTGTACAAAAGAGATTTAAAAAAATAAAAATAAAAAAAAGCAAAGAAACAGAAATAGATGTGTTATGTGACATTTATATCCAAAATATAAAAAGTCAAACACAGCTTTAAAAGTATGTATGCATGTGTTTGTTATTGGATCACTGTATGTTTCGCACATTCTGAGAAGTTGACGTTTTTAACTCCATGTTGGTATTAATGAATACTGTACACACTAATCTCAACTGCACAGTGACTAACTTTGTGACAAGCTGTGGCTTTTAACATAAATGATTTGCTAAACTTTTTCTACAAGGTTTTATGAGAGAACCTTTATTCATCCCACAGAGGAGAAATGTCTGTATAGCAGCTCATAGTAGGAAATATATGTATAATAACAGTAGGAATTATATATATCATAAAGCACCGGAAAAATAGACCAATAGTAACAACACATTTGGAAAAAAAAATTTGAATCATTTAAATGTTATTTAGCTGAAACTCTAAAAACAGATGGTCTCAAGGCCTTGGCAGGGTAAAGTTATACCACTATAATTTTAGGAGAACAGTAGGAATGTGGAGCACACAGCACAAGATGAATGTACAATAACTCATTGTCAACTAATATAAAAGAAAAAATCAATAACTTTAGCATAATAAAGTACGGATATAAGCACAACACTACCCATAAGTGCACTACACAGAATCAGGAATTGGAAATTGTAGACAACGATTAAGTTTATAGCAAGTTTTTGCTACTGCCCTAATATTAATAAACAAACTGAAAATGAAAATTGAGAGAATGAATTGCAGATAAATTGACTAGTTATAGAAAAGTAAAATATATTGCGTGTGACAGATGCCAGTGAAGCTTTGCTGTAGCTCTGGGTTAAACAATATCATAACCGAATCAACAACATCATATACAATTGCCTGCTACTGTTTTCCCTGTGTCCCCGTGGAACTTGATTACAGCAAAATAGCCTATTGACATTTCATGCTCTGTACCACTTGTCTCGCTTAAGTCTTTACTACTGAGAGTTAGTATGTCAGACCACCACGCTCCACACATCTGTCTATAGCTACAGTACCGACCCTAAGCTCTTCCCTGATTGCCGTTTCCATTCTCATTTAAGTCAACGAGATGCTACAGTATATACAGAAGCTCGTCACATCAGTTTCACCCCCCACAACCACACCCCATGGTCTCCTTCATGCACAGCGCTATAGAAAATCACTGTACTATGCTATACCACCATATGTATGTATGTCTGTGGAGCCAGTAACCTGCTCATCGGTGCTCATCTGGGGCCTGTGAGAGCCATAATGTCATTGTATAGCCTCCACTATTGCTCCAACCATGGCATATACACACATACACACACACACACACACACACTGAGAGAGAAAGACAGACAGAGAGAGAAAGGGGGGACATATACTCCACCTAGAGCTCTGGCTTGTAACAGCTGCTATAAGAGTGTTTTTTTACTCCATTGAAAATACATGTAAAATGATCTGATTCATATAGCTTCTCGTTCACACGCTGTCAGTCACACCCCGGACCAGAAGCCCCCCTCTCCTCTGCACCTGTAACACGGATGACCTGGTTTTAGGGTCAGCCCCACCGCCGCTGACAGGAATTCGTCTTCATTTATTGATCGGTGGCGTCAGTATCAAAGCCAATAGTGTTTCTGATAAATCACTATATAGAGAGGCCCGTGTAGCCAGGCTGCACTGTGATTGGAAGAGGCTCCATCCCAAGACCGTGATGGCTGAGCTGTGTGGGCTCACTACAGAAAGGCATTAGCCGCTTGGTTGTAATTGGCAGCTCGCTCTAACAGACTCGGATCGATGAAGTTAACGGGGGAAAGACAACACTTACTTTAGCATGGCTTGTTCTTTCTCCTCCTCCTCCTTCTGTCGAGCCATCACACCCATAATGATCTTCCTCTCCTCTTCGGTGAGGTGGCTGAGGTCCGGCAGATCGGGCATGCATGGCGGCGCGGTGGGTGGGCGCGGGCCGCCTTGGGGCCCCACCGAGGCGGACATCTTCTCTACCACGACCCCTCTTGATCCTCCACCTCCTCCTCCACCACCTCCTCCACCAGCACCAGCAGCACCAGCACCAAGGCGCGTCAAATCAGCTGATCCGGGAGCGTTGGCAGCCACACCTCACGACATCTCGGTGGAGCAGAGGCACTCGCGGTTGTGCTTGTTGAGTTTCCTGCGGTCCCCCCCACCCCCCGCGCTCCCTCCTCTCCCCTCCACGGCCGGGTTCGATCAGGGGGTCTCCATGCTTGGGGATTGGAGGTGAAGGGCCCGTGTTCAGTCGCCTGTCTTCCCTGCGCGTCGTATTCGGACTGTGTGGATGGATGTGGGGCGGGAAGCGATAGGCGGAGCCCGCTGCTTCGGCTTCCTCTCTCTCCCCTCTCAGTCAATGGGAGTACGGCCCCTTCCTCTCCTCCTTTTTTGCGGAGGCGAGCTTACTCATTTGAGAATGGGCTCCTTGCATCAGCATCACATGTTTGCGTTTAACCCTAACACTTCTTATGTCGGGATGGTATTGGCTCGACTGTTCCTGCTATACACAGGGTCCCCAGAGGGTCTACGTAAATACACAACGTCATGTTTCAAAGTATCATGTGGACTTGAATGTGCTCTTTACTTTACAAGGCTATTCTACATTTATCCATTCTATCAGAAGAAATTGATTTGATTTAGCATGAGGGCATACAACCTAAAACACAAGAAATATTCATGTATAAACAAGCAGACAAACAGAGCAACACAACAATACAAGCATCAACGTACAATACAGTCCATATCACCCAATTGTTAATGGTGACCTGTCATGTAACATATTTCACAGATTTTATTCTTATCTGATCATATAAAATACAAATTCAGAGCGAAGCGGAATCAGAGTGTGAATAGGGTTCAGCACCATGGACAGCAACATTCAGTCTATAATATGAACTTCATGGACTTGTTCACACTTGACCTTTTGGCTCTAGTTTTTGCCCATCAGGAGTCCAGTAGACTTAATTTGAGCCTGCTATATGTCTAATGCATATTGTTACCAATTGTATTCCAATATCTATAGTTTTGTCTCAGTTTGGATGTTCAATTCAACTCAATTCATTTTTTTGTATATATAACCCTAAATTACAACAGCAGTCATCTCGGAGGACTTTACAAGAATATTGATTCACCAACAACAGATCACAGAATGAAACAGTTCAAACATATGAAATGCAGTAATACCAAACACATTTATAGGAGTCATTGATCCATAGGGAGTGGGATGTCGATAAATGTTATAAAAAAACTGTCCATAAAGAGCCACCATGAATGTCCTTAAATGTCCCGGATCGTCATTGCCCTTAGACCCTCCTGCATCGGCAAGCAAACACGCATATGTCAATGTGAGTGGCAGTTTTTACCAATGTAACTCTGCTTGGTAAGACTAGGTTAATTTGGTCACATTGGCAAAGATAACAGAACCGCACATGCATTTCTTGTCATCCTCGTATAAGGATTTCTCTCTGTACATGAACCCATATATTATTTATATATAGTCTTGGTATATATTTTTGGAATGGGGGGTCATAGATTTTTAGAGTGCAGAGTGGAGTGAGTCATCGCAGCAGCAGCAGCAGCAGCAGCAGAGGTCGGTGCGTGATCAAACCGAGTGTCCAATAATAGCAGCTGTGAGAGTTACTTCAGCAGCTCGTTGACATGCAGCTCCAGGCTCCGGGGCTTCACCCACAGCTGCTGGCACCCACCGGGCTCCTCCTGGTGACGTCAGGGCGTAGAAAAGAGAGGCAGTGACGCGGAGCAGCCAACAGATGGCGGTAATGTGTGAAGTCACAGTACAGCATGCATGTGTGTGTGGTGATGTAACAGCATAAGTTTGGTCCAAAAGGCAAGGTAAGAAAGACAAAAAATATGTATAGAGGTGAAAAACATGGCTGTAAAATTGTAGAAATATAGAATAACCTGTTTTGTTTTATTTATATATATATATATTTGTATTATAAGGTACAGGATCCACAGGTATAATGTGAGAAATGGAAGAATTAAAATAAAATAAAAAGTTAATCGTCTGTTATGTGTACATACTGCGTACTTGCATCAGCCAAAATAAATCCAGAGTTTGTCACTATAAAAAAATAATACAAATAATTCAGATTTTAACAAGTTTAAACGATGTCGGAGGGAGGGTCAGGGTGTAGACCAAAGACTGTGAATATAAGACTTTCATTATTTTGATCAATTAAATTATACATTATTTTCATTCCTGCATTTGGGGTTGTTTTTCCTTTTACCTCATGACTAGAGGATCCAACAGTCTTTTTTCTTCATTTACTGTATTACGAATCTCTATTTCAGACTCAGTTCAGTTCACTTCAGTTCAATTTAAATCAGACGTTGCAGACAATTCTGACAATTTTAGCCAATTGGGTGGGAAAAAAGTCATATGCAGAAACAATAGACCTCGACCCTTTCTACCTGTTCTGTTTTTTATCCTCAAAAAGCAGAACCGATAAAAATAGTCTTTTGATTCATTCAGTTAGAATGATATGTAGTAAAGCAGGCAAGGTAAGCCAAGGCAAGCTTATTTGTACAGCACCGTTCATACAATAGGGAACTCAAAGTGCTTAACAACAACGAAAAAGGTGTGATACCAAGAAAAAAAAATATTTGAGTACAACAAAGTAAAACAAAAATCTTTGTAACTTGCCATAAAACAAGCAAGATTAATTGGTTTCATAACAATGACAAATGTGGCCCTTTACAGTCTTCAAGGTAAATATGAGCTCATCCGAATGGGGGGAAAGACTTCAAAATGCGAAAGGAAGCTGACACATCTTTTTATTCCGCCTTTCTTTAGAAACTTGAGAGTGATTTCCAGTCCCCTCTCACCCGGCTCCATCAGGCTCGCTTCGTGACGTCACAGATGGGTGAGTGACGCGCGGCTCATGGTGCAGGATTTGGTCATCGTGAGTCGTGACTATGCGCTAAATCGTGAGTGGCATTTACTACATTCACTAATTATTTGCGGACGTGAGCAAAACTAGAGTTCAAGACGTGTATATGGACTCAACCGGAAATAACATATTGTTGTAAAGCAGGGGTCTCCAGGCTTTTCCCTTTTTTTCGGGACAACACATGGGCAGAGAGCAACTCCTTTTAGACAGTGGACAAAATGTTGTGCTGCTGATTAAACAATGGAACAACCAGCTTTAGTTTTTTTTCCTATACAGATATAGCAAGTGTTATTCTATTGGTAAATCTTGTTTTAAGACCATCAACATTTTAGGGTTAGGGTTAGCCAGATTTGGAAAACTATATTTTGGCTTCATAAACATGAACTACAGTGTCCCTCTAAATGATACTTGCACATTTTAATGAAAAATAAACTTGCAAGTGAAATTGGGTCTATTGTTCCGTATAGAGCCATGTTCAGTAGCCGTTTAGAATGTTTGGTATGACATCTAGCGGTCACACGAAGTACTACATGTGTTCAAACATTCAAAAATTGTAAAGGCCAACATTTACATGATGAAATGTTTTATGCTTTTTAATTTAGGCTGTATAAACTAACATTATTATTTTATGAATTTTAAGCTGTAGGCCAAGATTGTATGAACACAACTTCAGGTTATAGGTTAATCTCAGTAACCTATTCCCTCTATATACATTTTGGTTGCTGGGAGTCTAAAAAATAAGAAACCATGTGTTCATTTAATTATAATAAAGTGTTGCATAACCTTATTCTACTGTCAAACTCATTCTAACGTTTTGGTGCCTCTGCATCTTCTAATAATTACACAAACAACTCAGAAACAAACAATTAAAAACCTCCTTTTTATTTTGCGCACACCCAGGGCTTTTAGTCATAATTTTGAAATAAATAAATGTAGTTTGGATGCTTTCTTCTATTTACTTTCTCAATATGTGCACAGTGCCACCTAGTGTCAGGTCACAGCAGTTGCAGCACCGTTGGTTTGTTGCCATCTATTGACCACAAAAATCGGATTGGGGCAAAATTTAGCCATACACATTAAACTGAAACCAAATCCATACGATCAGGGAGTCCAGGGGCTAATCTTTCACTAGAGATGACTTGACGTCTTCTGAGCGTGAGACTACTTTTCCATCAATGATCTCTTCAATCACAATTCTGGTTCTTTGAGTTTTTACTGGTTCAGCTGCAAAAGAAAGAAGTAATAAATATACTGCATAAGGGAATAAACATGGTAGAATATTTAAAACAAAAAAATGGGACTCACTTTTCACAATTCTGTTAAATGAAAAAGAGAAAAAAATATGTTAGTATAGTTTCAGACAGATATTATATTAAATTCTGCTTTAAATTCTCTTATAATTATTATATTCAGTGCTGTATTTATGAGTGCACATTGTGTCTCCCTATAGCCTTTTTCCCCACTGTGGACCCATGTTTTTCAATGAGACTTTTAAAGGTCATAGCGCAGCAAATATTGGTAAAAAAGTTGGGTTGAATGCCGAGTCGGTTTTGACATACCAACATGTGTCTCTCATTGCGTACAGAAAGGACTACCTGGGGATTTTCTCTTGTGCAGCGGGGATGAGGTTACAGTCTGTGAAAAGCACTTTCTAAATACATTGCCTAGTTTATTAATCTTAGTTTAATGCCAAAATTGTTGATGTACTCCCTCACTATCCTAGAATACAATATAGAACCACATGTGTCCACTGTCACTTTGTCCCAGACCCTCATGCTGCGAACAAGTACAGATGTATACATTCTTGCACTTTGTTATGATAAAGATAGGCATTGTTTAGCACTAAATTGTTTGTATACATGTTTTATTTAATTTATTTTTTTATTGTAAAATGTATTTGATGTTTGGAAACATGTGACCTAAGTTCTAATAAGCATAATCACCAAAATAAAAAATAAACTACTACTAAAGATAGAGACTTAATCCTTACTTCTTAATTATGCTAAAGTTGGAGATTTAAGATACAGACGTAACAAAAGCTATTGTTACGTCCGGCTCAGCTAGGAAGTAATGAACGCAACAAAAACCAGATGGAAATGGTATGAGTCCATCATAAGTAATTTTATTAATGATAGTATATAAAATTAATTGTGGAACGAAAAAGGAAGGCGGTGCACACAAACACAGGGCAACGGGAGCGCCATCTAGTGCACAACTGGCACAATAGGTCGTTGCCCGTAGCAGCTTTCTCATTATGCTAAAGCTAGAGATGTTTCTTCTCTATTATGCTAAAGTCATAGATTTTAAACATAATCCTTGGTTCTTCATCATGTATATATTAATGTATGTATATATTGTATACTTTTTTTAGTACATATTCAATTTGATGGTGTTTTAGTATAGATTTATTGTCCATTTTGTCTTGTTGTGTTCTCTCATTCCTACTGTTCTGTAACTGGTGATATAACACTGAATAAAAGGATCTCTGAATCTGAACAAACAACACGTATAAAAAAATTCTCTTACGTCACGTCCTCTCCGTCCAGCAGCCGTCTGTACTCTGCGATCTCCATCTCCAGCCGGGTCTTGATGTCCAGGAGCATCTGGTACTCCATGCGCTGCCTCTCGATGTCGGCCCTCACCCTGCCCAGCTCGTTCTCCAGAGAATCCACCATGGCCTGGAGCTGACTGAGCTGCAGGCTGTAGCGCGACTCCGTTTCCGCCAACTGCTCCTCCAATGCACTTTTCTAATAGCGCAAAGCAAATACGAAAACATTTAGAGAAAAGATGAAGGAGGCGTGGTGGGTAACTCTCCAAGCTAATTGCTTTGTTAATTGCTTTTTCTCAGCTATCTCTGCACTTGTGTGGCCCGAGGTCAGAGTGTGGGCTGTTTGAAGAGTGACATTGGCTAAAGATCAAACACTTTATGACCTAGGTTAGGTAGGACAGGTTAACTAGCAAATATTTAGTTTTGAGATTAAAAGTATTGGATACAGAAAAACATGGCATAAGAGGGAGTAGTCCACATTTTTGTCAGTCATATTTATAACCAGGTCTACACTGTACCTGGTTAAATATAACTTTTTTAAAGGCAAGATTCATTATTAGGCAAGATTCAATTTAATTTATGTGTGTCCCCAGTAGGGGTGGGAACCTCAGGGTACCTCACGATACGATACGCGATACCAAGCTCACGATCACGATTATATCACGATATGACGATTATCGATATATTGGTCAGAAATATACTGTTATAGAAATCTTTTAGTAAAGAAATCTGAATAAACACGAAATAGTTATAAGTGTAAGTTATGAACTAATTCTCAACTCTGGATTTAAATACAACACATATTGGCATAAATTTTAAAAAAATGTTAAGTGAAAAAATACACTTTATTTCATGATAAATGGAATGGAGGTGCGTAATATAGCCATATAATAAGTATTGATACTAATTTTCATTTTATCTTTTTTATTTTTTAAATCGATACGCAATCGATTGCGTGAGAAAGTTTCACGATACATCACGATATCGATATATCGTCAAACTCCTAGTCCCCAGATAATAGGTCGAAGTGTAGCATTTTAATACAATACGATGTTATGTTCTCTGTCATGGTAAAGGTTTAGTTCCTCTTTTATTTTGTAATTTAATAACCCACGTCTCTTTAGCTCTACTTCCTGTTGTGTGTCATGTGTATCACCTGTGTCTAGTTTGTCATTGTGCATCCTGTTCTATCACTGTCAATGCCACGTCGCTTTTAGTTATTTGTCTTTGCCCACTTTGATCCAGTTTATTTTTTTCTGCTTTTGTATTTTAGTATTTGCTTTTATTAAATCCCTTCTTTTGCAGTCCGGCATTTTAGGTTAATTTAATATTGCTACATGACAAGTTTGAGTTTTTTAGGTTCTTTAATACTCGTTGTTTATGTTACCAATATTCAGTATTCTGTATGTCATTATTGTTAATAGTTTTACCCTCGAAAATGAGAGGATTCATCTCAAGGGGCTTTCCTTAAATAAACTTCAAACTTATGACAGTTTACCATATTTATGTTTTAGGATTTCGCACAGATCATCCAATCAGAAAGTTGCCAGTTCTTATTCTTGTATATGTAATTCAGCAACGTTGTATTTTTGTATACATAAAGCATATACAGAGTTTGTGTAATTTGTGCTTAGGAGCTACATGTGCCTCAAACAGGAAGATTTATTTGAATGAATTTAGTGTGTGCGTGTGTGTGTGTGCATGTGTGTGTGGTATAGTATTACCAGGCTGAGTTGAGACTGCAGCTCGATCTGGAGGCTCTGCAGCGTCCTCTTGAGGTCATTGATTTCACTGCGGGATGTTTGGAGCGACTCGGAGCTGCTCGCCACCTGCTTGTTCAAGTTGTCAAACTGAAAAAGGGGAAACAGCTTTAGAATCATGCAACAAAACTTCGGGAATTAATTTCAATTCAGTACAACTCGTGCAGAGCCTGTAAAGACTTGAGTTTCTGAGAGATTATTTCTTCAATTTGTCTACTGTACATATTTTTTAACCATAAACCAAGAACAAAAGGAGGTTGTTCTCATCCCAGGTAAAATAAGTATTAAATACATAGTAAGATTTTGTTTCGATAGCTGACAAGTCTCAATAATTGGAATCATTGTTGTAACTTTTCCCGAAATATGCAATAGAATTTAAAGTAAGGGGTCTTTCCTGCAGAACAAATGTGACTGTTTAACTTACTTGTGAACTAAAACATACCACACCGTTAACACACACACCTTCATGGGGACATAAAACCTCCCATATTTATAGAATCGAGCGGCGGGTGAAAATAGCGCACCTTGACTTTGTACCACTCTTCCATCTCCCGCCGGTTCTTCTCGGCGATGCCCTCGTACTGGGCCCGGATCTCGTCCATGATACGGCTGAGGTCCACCTGCGGCTGTGCGTCCACCTCCACGTTCACGGAGCTGCCCGTCACCTGTCCGCGCATCGCCGCCATTTCCTGAGAGAGAAGCAGGAGAAATTATCACATGGACTCAAACTTATAGCGAAAAATCATTTACTATAGAGCTAATTAGTGTTGTACAATGGAATAGTAGCTTTGGTCACATTTACTATCGTTTGTCTCGAAAAAACGGCTTTACCAGGATGGTCCAATAGTCGGCTCTTGGGCCAAAGCTATGTTCCAGATGTGTGTCAATGCTGAGAAGAATTTATTTTTTGGACCACTCTAGTTTAGCCGCTGTGGACTTCAGAAGGCACTTGTTAAATGAATGGGGCTGGTGCCGGCTGACGCAGGCGCAAATGCATGTTTTTCACATTTTCTTGCCTGTTACCCAACAAGCATTTAAAAGTAAACTATAATGTTTAAGCTGAAAACACAACACATACTTTACATTATTTGCTCTTATATATAAAAAAAAAAAAAAAATAACAATTGGTTTATTCTTGGGTACATAAGGTGTACATAATTTAAAAAAATGTAATATTTACTTTGAAAATTGTTGAAATAAAAAGATACAGATACTTAAAAGAGAACAAGCTTCACTTCCTGTATGTATAACGACTCTTAGGCAACTCTTAGACTGTAAAAAGTGAAGAAAATTAGATAAAATGTATGTTAAACAAGATTCTCCACAGAGGACCATGTAAGTAAGTAAAGATTAAAAAATTCCAGAAAAATCTAGAAGGAGAAGTACATGCTGTATTTTATGACCGATGTGTTTGTGGACAGTAATGTAAGTAAATAGTATTGGTTGTTTGCAGGGTCATTTTCGCAAATATTTGAGTTGTGTGTTGGTTTTTGAGCCGGTTGTGTGTGTGCTCACCTCCTCATGGTTCTTCTTGAGATAAACCAGCTCCTCTTTCAGACCCTCCACCTGCATCTCCAGGTCGGACCGGGCCATGGTGATCTCGTCCAGGACTTTACGTAGACCGCTGATGTCCCCTTCCACCGACTGACGAAGAGCCATCTCATTCTCAAACCTGTCGGGATTAGACGTATATCGAAAACATTCAAATAGTCTTCTTCTTCTAGGGACGGACATTGCAAATTACCCTTGGCTATAAATGTTATAGTGTTTCACATTTTGATTGAGTACACTTGTCCCTACCAATTTTAAAGAATAATAAAAAATAAATGGTATGTCACAGTAGTTTATCAAAAGTAATTATGAATAGATACAGATTATTTGTTTCATTCTGGGCCTTAAACATGATGTAGTATGTTAACTTTGATGTTTTAGAATGTGTAATGACAACTGAAAAATATAGATAAACATGGCAAATCCAGTGATGAGTAGAACATACAACATTTCCATAAAGAAATCAAACATGGCACGGACTACTGCCATCTGGTTGTAAAGAATTCACTTGTACTTGAATTGTGGGAAATAAAAATGGTTTGTGTCTGTTCTGTCTTAAAATCTGTTACTTTCTTTGTTTGTTTGTTTTTATTGTGTTTTATTAAGAGGCCTCTTTAGTTTACCAGACTTGTACGGGGCTGGATTCAGGCTATTCTGAGCTTTAAATTAGATGGAGCTGAAGTTGGCTGCATATGAACAAGAGTCATAAATGCATTTTTGTGCCACAATCACAAATTAATCTTGGTATAGTCAAACAAAATCAACGACAGGATTGGAGAGGTTCTGAGCTTTACAATGAGGTATATGAACTATTTATGGAAATGATAAACTTTGAGAATGCATCGTATTCTACTGTAGATGAACTGTTTAACTCTGTCACCTCTAGTGTTTTGAATGTTCTGGATACCGTTGCCCCTGTGAAGGTTAAAATAGTGAAAAATAAGCAGAAGGCGCCGTGGGCTAAAGCAGACTCGGTCAGGGCACAAAAGAGAAAGTGCCGGAGGGCCGAGCGGAAGTGGCGCAAGTCCAACCTCCAGGTAGATTACGAGATCTTCAAAGATAAGTTGTGCGAGTTTAACCGGGTGCTACGTAGTACGAGAGAAAGGTATTTTGATTTGAAATGATTGAAGGCTGCAGCAACAATCTGCGTGTTCTGTTCTCAACAGTTAATAGATTAACAAACCCCCCTGTTCAAATGCCATTAGAGCTTACTTCCAAACGTAAATGCAATGAGTTTGCTAATTTTTTCAATGACAAGGTTCAAGGCATCAAAAACGCCATTGTCTCCAATCCACAGATAACCATCCAACAGCCAGAAAGGCTCTCTGAGCTAACTCACTTTGCACCTGTAAATGATAAAACTGTCCAAGAGATAATCTCCAGTTTGAGCTCCTCCACATGCAGCCTGGATGTACTACCCACTAGATTTCTGAAGTCTGTTCTGACCAGTCTGTTACCTTCACTCACACAGATAGTAAACATGTCCCTTCATTCTGGAATATTCCCAAAGGCCCTGAAAACTGCAGTCATCAGGCCCCTGCTAAAAAAGAGCAGTCTGGATGCTACGGTACTTAACAACTATCGTCCCATCTCAAATCTGCCATTTATGGGGAAAGTCCTTGAGAAAGTTGTCTACCTACAGCTTACTAGATTTCTTATAATCAACAACTCATTTGATATGTTTCAGTCCGGCTTTAGACCCCACCACAGCACTGAGACTGCTCTCGTCAAGGTTACAAACGATATCCGGCTGAACACTGACGCAGGCAAAGTCTCAATCTTAATCTTGATAGATCTAAGTGCTGCCTTTGACACCGTCGACCATGAGATCCTCTTACAGAGACTAGAGGACTGGGTTGGCGTCACTGGCACCGCCCTAAGTTGGTTTAGGTCTTACCTTGAAGACAGGAAGTACTTTGTGGAGATTGGAAACTGTGTCTCAGATCATATGGCCCTGACCTGTGGAGTCCCACAGGGGTCGATCCTGAGACCTCTTCTGTTCAATCTCTACATGCTGCCGTTAGGTCAGTTAATACGCAGAAACAAAGTTTCCTATCATAACTATGCAGACGACACTCAGATCTATGTCTCACTGACTGCAGGAGAACATGGACCAGTGGACTCACTCCTTCACTGTATCCAACAGATCAGTGAGTGGATGCAAAACAACTTCCTTCAGCTAAACGCAGACAAAACTGAAATGATTGTCTTTGGTCCCCAGAAACAAAGAGAGAGCGTCATCTGTCACCTACAGTCTCTCTCCCTAAAACCTTCAAACAAGGTCAGAAATCTAGGGGTAATACTGGACTCAGACTTAAATTTTAATAGCCACATCAAATCAGTAACATCAGCAGCTTTTTACCATCTAAAAAACATTGCCAGGATCAAAAACATAGTGTCTAAAGCAGACTTGGAGATTCTTATCCATGCATTTGTCTCCAGTAGGTTAGACTACTGCAATGGCCTGCTCACAGGTCTGTCCAAACAGGCTGTAAAACAGCTGCAGTACATTCAAAATGCAGCAGCTCGAGTCCTGACAAGAACCAGGAAGTACGACCACATTAGTCCAGTCCTCAGGTCTCTTTACTGGCTTCCTGTGGCTCAGAGAATAGACTTTAAAACAGCTCTGCTTGTGTACAAGTCTCTCCATAGCCTCGCACCAAAATATATTAGTGACATGTTAGTCCCATATGAACCAGCCCGGACTCTGAGGAGCACAGGGACTGGACTCCTGTTAGTGCCCAGAGTCAGAACTAAACATGGGGAGGCTGCTTTTCAGATTAATGCTGCTAAAATCTGGAACAGTCTTCCTGAAGATGTGAGACAGGCCTCCTCTCTGACAATGTTTAAAACCAGGTTAAAGACGGTTCTGTTTAACTGTGCATACAACTGAGGGATTTTATATTTTTATCTTTCTTTTTAATGTTCTGTGATAATTTATGATTTTAATGCTTTCTTGTTTTGTTCAGCACTTTGAATTGCCTTGTGTATGAATTGTGCTATATAAATAAACTTGCCTTGCCTTGCCTTGCCTTGCCATAGTATGGCTGCATTGGTGGAGATGGAGTTGGCTTGATGACAAGGAATTTATCATCATTGTTCACGATTGCAATGGCTAATTTTATGTTAGCAATGCAGGGGGCCACAGAAAATGACACAGAGGTTCACTATTGTCTCCTGGGCCATAGTTTGGACAGGCCTGATTTATATGGATCCTATAGCTACAGTAAATGCAATTGCAATCAGCTCGTCTTCAACCTGCCAATGGGACTAGAGATAAAAAATTAGCATATGTGTATGTGACTAACTCCAGATAACGTACTGTAGATGGTGGATGAACGGATGCGGATTACTGTGCACTGTCCCAATGTAAGTAAATCTGCTTGGTTTATGATATCATAGTGGAAGAATTTGCCATCGTTTGAAAAGGGAGCGGTTAAAGAGAAGGGGCGTGGGGGTATGTTTGTCCCAGAAATATCTTAAGTGTGTATGAAGCTAACCAACTTCAGACATGCTTTTGTTGGTTGAAAGTCCCCAAAATGTAGCATAATATGTGCCGTTTGAAGTGCTGAGAAAATAATTCCAAACTGCCCGTGGTAATCCTTTCTCACATAAACATTAGTACCAGATATTCCCTGGACTCAGCTGTTTTCAAAACTGCAACAGCTCAGTTTTTTCACTTTCATGTATTTCACTATCAGCTAAAACTGGTTCTGGGGGTTTACCTGGGAAATGGCCAGCGACAAACATACAGGGAATCACCGAGGGTAAATGAGGGCTTTAAATATAGTTACATACATGCATTTAGTGTCTACAAAACAAAGACGACTTTTCTCAGAGTCCACTTCCATAAAAAAGTTTTCCTCATCATATGTGTTAGTGTTAATACAACATTACACGTAATCAAATTTGGATTCTATGGACCAGTCACTAACCTGTACTAAGCAGGAACCAAAAAATATCTATATCTAGAAAAAAAATTGGTTCAAATTTGCCTTTGTTACGTCATAGTTAATCACGTGTTTAATTCAATTGCACTGTAAATTAAACTAAAAGAAAAAATCAGGATTCATATCGACGTAGACACAAACAAATATAAAACCTTTAGCAGTAATCTTCAAAAACATGCTGGTCATTTGTCTTTTCTCCCTCTGGCCTTTTGTTGACATCACACATGGTTTAAGCTGTTGACACTATTAACTTAGTATCAACAAACGGAAAGCTGAGGCCCTATTGAAACCTGTTATACAAGTCCCCTGTGTTTACTGTCACAGCCCTGCCCCACCGTGGACATATATGATTGAGTGAAGTTTTATGGCTTTATGTCGAGAGGAAGTTTCTGGTGTAACTCACTTGACTCTGAAGTCTTCCGCAGCCAGTCTGGCATTGTCAAGCTGCAGCATGAGCCTGGCATTGTCCTGTGTGGCCATCAAGATCTGCAACAAAAGAAATACCAACATGAATGGATCCATATATAAGGATCCATATATAAGGACATACCAGTTCGTTCATAAAAACTTGTTCATAAAAACTTGTAATAAAATAATAAGGAAAAATATATAAAATGTGTTTTGCTTTCAGAATATAATTGAAAAAGTGTAAACTTTTGTAGCATACGTTGTTTGTTCTTGTTGATAAAATTTACTTACAAACAAACAAATACATCTCCCAGAATTGTAATTCAGTGGGCCTCCCTTTTGTCAATAATAAAAATATCAACAGACAAATCAGGATCATGATTCATGATCATCATTACTTCATAAATCATTCAACAGCCAGGCCTTTAAAAACAATGCTGTGATTGTAAAATGATCCAGATTACATTAAAATTACCATTTAAATGAATGTACGGCCTTATAAAAGTCACCCCATAACAAGTTGTATAAATACAGTTATATTCAAATGCTTCAATGTTTTTTTTGTTTTTGGATTAATTTGCACATGGAACTAAGGGCAGTGGGCAGAGCTTGGGGTTCCGATTTAAAAAAAATAATAATTGAGGGAATAATGTCCACATTCCTGTGTGGATTTTCAAAGTTTTTTCAAATTCGCAAGGCCGGCCCTTTTAAATTTAGCCACCAAAGCCCCAATTTCAACATTACTTTAGGGGCGTTTCCACCGGCACTGTTTAACCCAGGTACTTTTTTGTTACCGAGCTGGTACTAAAGTGTTCTTACTAACAGTGATTGGCCGCTAGAAGCCATAGTTACTAAGAAATTTCCCCCGAATATCAGTTTGCTTTGGGTAGGTTGCTAGGATACGGTACCAGACACTAAAGAGTAATGGGAAGGTAGAGTAGAGGCGAGGAGGGCTGGTGGAAACAGGGCTTCTTTATTCGGCCCTGATTTGTGCGATAGTATTTATAACTTTTATAAGCTATATCTAATTATTTGTTTGGGCTACATCTAATGAATCATTTCAAAAGTCTCACCTTCCTGCGCAGGTCTTCGATGATGGGCTCAAACTTGCTGTAGTCGCGCACCGCGGGGGTCTTCTCCTGGTACCACTCGAGGATCTGCTTCTCCAGTTTGGCGTTGGCGGCCTCCAGAGAGCGCACCTTCTCCAGGTACGTGGCCAGGCGGTCGTTGAGGTTCTGCATGGTGTGCTTCTCACTGCCCATCACATGGTCGTCTGTGCCCGCAGACCCCCTGCCGCCTCCCGCTTGCAGCGCTGAGGACAAGTCAAACCCGGAGCCGAGGCCTCTGGTCGCGTACGAAATCCTCACGTTTGACCCTCCTGAGCCCCCGTACACGCTCGTGGCTACAGGTAAAACAATAAACTTTTTTTAACTTCTATTATTGTATTATTTCACTCTATTTTGTTGACGACATTGATAAAAAAAATATTCACACGTTTTTTGCAGTTATTAAAAGTGTGTTGTGGAATGCTAGTACTCACTATGGTAGCTCAACTTAAAGCCGGGCTATCTGAGCGTTTGTTTCATAAATACATGGAACAAATCCATCTGTTTTGTGCCAACAGAAAGAGTACTGTAAAAGAATAATGTTAAATTACAATTAGAAAACATGATATATTTTGCATAACTACTTGTACGATAGCCGTGTGAGTCACTATTTGCCTCTTTGAGCTGAGAGAGATTGGCTGAGAGAAATTGGAACGCTCTTTTTCAATTTTTTGTCTGATAATATGTGACAGAGACTCAAAACATACATGTGTCAGAACCAAACTATTTTGAGACTGAGTTAGTTGTTAGTTTTATTAGATTTGATTACATACTGTAGTTACTTTTTCTGTGGTTACCAGATACGTACAATTCATGGTACTGTATGTGCTGTAGGTTATTTTTATAGATCCATGGCTATAGGCCTATAGCACATTTCATACATTACTAAGTTTAGTATAGTTATTTTTCACTTGGCAAATGCTTCTAGTTCAAGTTAAGAAGTCTTTTGCAAGTAGCCCAGTAATAGTACAATATTTTTGGTTGATCTATCATTTCATTTTAGTGCTGTAAATGGTCTGTTTGATTAAAATGAATATAAAATAAAACTAATGTGTGAAAATGTGTAATAAAGAAATTTAAATAAACCGTTACTACAGACATGTATGAAAATCCACCACATTGGCCGGCAGTTCTGCTCATAGTGATACATAAAAAAAATTATGTATAGAGTATTAAGTAATACGCCAAATAAAAAACTTGGTCAATACCTTCATCAACTCATATTACCATATTCTAAACTGTCTATAGATGCTGTGTTTTCTATCTGACAACCTTACATGCCTCAATAGCCTATGCCTAAATCTCTTTGCATATGTTTTGCTTATATTGAAATCAACTATGGTCCTTTTCTTTTCAGTTTATATGTATATCTTACCTCGTCTGTTGGTGGTCAGAGACGGCATAGAGGACAGGGACATAGAGGATAATCCGGAGCGGTATGTCATGGTGTCGGATCTGGTGTTTTGTCAGCGGTGGATGGTCTCTGGTGCAGGCGTGTGCGGTGCTGAGGCAGGCTGAGCGCAGGGCTTTATAGCTCAGGCTGAGGAAGGAGTGTCCACACTGTCACAGGTGCTGAGCAGGCAGGTGAGAGGAGGAGGAGGAGGACTGTGTGATGAAGAAGATACTATTGAAAGGTGGTGGTGCCGCCCAAGCATTCTGGTTTATCTAAATGTCAAAGGAGTGTCACCTCTTCTCCCCATGAAATTTCAATGATGTCTGTCCGATAGGCTACTTTTAACTCTAAGCATGATTTATGACAGCTGGAAAAAATAATTGGACAAAATTGTAGGGTGAATATTATAACGAATTCCATCTGTATATTTAATCATCTGTGTGTTAATTAAAGAATACCGTGTAACTTTTCGGAACACCATAATACTTTTTAATTTGGTATGCAGTCACGTTGCAAAGTGGTGTAAAACCTGTAGTGGGAGTCGAAGAATGACTGTTCAGACGAGACAACTGAGAAGGAGGAACACATCAAACAGCGCCTCTTTGTTGATGCACTAAAACAATTAAAATGGTCGCGATGATGAGAGATTTTTCTAAATCAGCAAATAAGGTTCAGAGATATTTAGGCGTTAGTTTTGTTGAACCAAAATGTATGGAACGGCATTTAATACGTTTATTTTGTATTCATTTTTTTTCTTTCCAGCTTATGTACAGTATTTATATAGTATAGATGCATATACATTTACACATAAATTATAGATTTTTTTCTTTTGTTTACTCCAGTAGAAGATGAAAATGTGGGAAAATAGTGGTAAGAACCAAATACACGTCTAACTAATCATTCTCCAGGTAAATATGTATGATTTCACACAATGGCAGAGTGTACAATGGACAATCTGCATTAAAAAGATGGCCGCACCAGATTTAGCACCATGCTACTTTCCACCTAGTCAACAATACAACCATATAACTTGCATATTAAATATACTGTTAAAATTTGTGTAGGTTACTAAGTTACATATTAGCATACAGATCAATAAAAGTTCAAGTTTCTAAAAAACATTAAAATAAAAAGTGCACGTTACTAAAATACATATTAACATACAGTTCAAAATAAAACTGGTACTGCAATAACTAAATGCAGTACTGACTAAAACCGTTTTCCTGTGAAGCAATGGGTGTGTGCCTAACAAATTATTTAATCAGGCGTACATTGCAACTAGTTTTTCTTAGATGACTTGACATATTTTTGGCCTAGGCCCTATGGTTGTGTATGAGACAGAATTGCAGAAGGTAAGGCTATAGAAACGTGTTGTTCTAAAGTCAGAACAAAAATCATAAATGCTTTCTCTCTCTTTTTATAGATTTTTTTTAACCTCTTGTTTAATTTTTATTGGGGAATAGAGGCAACAGCATGAGACAGCAGTACATACAGTAAAAGTCACATGCTAAAATAGTAGCCTCCTGCCTTATGTCAATTGGGTGCATTCATTGATGAGTGTTTTCGGGAATAGTGTTGATTATATGTTTGTTGAATCTTCGTGAAAGTATGATTATGTTTTGATTGCAACATTTAGTATCAGTGAGTGTCCCCTCCGAGTCAATAAACATTATCATTTCTAAGGATGTTGAACATAGAGATGACATTGAATATGATATATGGTGGTAATGGCAGTAATGATAATACAAAGAAAACATTATTAGTTATGAGTGACATATCACCTGGGTCAGACAGCCGCAGCAGCCAAAACACCAGCAAAGTAAATACTCTTCCTTGTCGTTCAACTTCTGCTGCCAAAAAAAACATAGCGCATACTTTCTGAAATGTTTTAACTGGGTGTTGTGCATGAACGAAAGATTCAGTTCGCATGAAAAAAATCCCACGTTAGTTTTTAGTAAACTCTAAAAATTGAAATTTGACGACAGATCTGTTTATCTGTCCTTGTGGATGCGGCTCAAATTAAATAGCGTGATGAAATAGGTTATGGCAACAAGAGATTTTGGTTTGCGAATAGATCATTACATTTCTTATAAAAACAAATAAAGTTTTGAAAGAAATGCTTTATGGAAATGACAAGGAAAAAACATAAAGTATAATAATAGGAGAAAATGGTGCAGGTATATGCCCTAAATTGTGCATCAACAGCTGAAAAATGTATACTGCTACAATAAGAAATATAGCTTTTATATTAGTGGCTAGAGATAACCAAGACAAAAAAATGAATGAATAAGGAAGAAAGGTGATTGAAACAAACAATAAAAACTATAGGAATGATATCTCCCCGTGTCTGTGTGGGTTTCCTCCGGGTGCTTGGGTTTCCCCTACCATTAGAAACATATACAATGGTGACCCCACTCCCATTTCTGTGTGTAGTGAAATACAAATGCCCAAAAAAAATTTTGTGACTCTGGTCTGTGAAAGACGCTATAAAAATAAAGATTACTACTTACTCAATTTATTGAATCAACTGTTCAATCTGCCTTAAGCACAAGAAATATGCCAAATATTCTGCTAACTCACTCCACACCTTCTCATTATCATAACAATCTCCAAATATGAAGCACGAATAAAAAAGGTGCCTTGTTGGGGACAGAGGGAGCTGAGTCTAAACCGATAGACTGTATGCAGATGGACAAGATTAAGATTAAGAGTTCCGTTATTTGTCGCACAGCGGGGACATTTCAGCGTTGCATCACAAGTTACAGAACAATACTAACCTCCTAACTCAATGAAACCCAAAAGGGAAGTGTTCATGGGAAGTTTTGATCAAACTCGCTCTGGCTCCTATGGACTCACGTTGAAAAGTAAATTCCTCTTACGCAGTAACCGTTGGTGTGACACTCACTATTTGGAGCTTGAATTATCTGTGTTTTTGCGCTCTCTGTGATACGGATGTTTACATTTTGATATTATCTCTGTTAATCCAGAAATATGCCATATAGGCATTGACCAATCAGATGCCTTCATTTGTGCCCAGCGACCAATGGCAAAACTCTCAATTATGGTGATGATCTGTGGGTAATGACTGAGGTGCTGAAGTTTGTGAATCTTATCAATATCATACATACAGACAATTTAGTATTTTAACAAAATAATTTACTGCAACTTTAGTAGTTAGTGTACGTTCTGTGAGCTCTGAAGTCCCATTAAGTAAAAAGTTTGCATTGATGAAGTATGTTTAAGGCCTAGATTACTAATACATTTGTTTTGACAACAAACACACTTGTGGAGAGTAGGGCGAGTCAGTAAGTGCCTCCTCATTCATGCCTGGTATTTGTGTCTGAAGATTCCATTATATTTGTAAAAGTCAAATTAAATCCACTGTTGACTGCACTCCTGACTCATGGTGCCAGAGGGAGGTCAGTGAACGAGCCTTTTGATCGAGGGGAAAAGTCTGTCTGGTCTATTGTAAACTAAAGTGAATATGTTTTTGTGTCTTTTATGGTGAGATCAAATAAGTCTGGCTTTACTTTGTCAGCCAGACTACACTGGGTGATGTGTTGTTTTTCATTTTGATTGGAGTACAGTGCCTTGCGAAAGTATTCGGCCCCCTTGAACCTTTCAACATTTCGCCACATTTCAGGCTTCAAACATAAAGATATAAAAATGTAATTTTTTGTCATGAATCAACAACAAGTGGGACACAATCGTGAAGTGGAACGAAATGTATTGGATAATTTAAACTTTTTTAACAAATAAAAAACTGAAAAGTGGGGCATGCAATATTATTCGGCCCCTTTACTTTCAGTGCAGAAAACTCACTCCAGAAGTTCAGTGAGGATCTTTGAATGATCCAATGTTGTCCTAAATGACTGATGATGATAAATAGAATGCACTTGTGTGTAATCAAGTCTCCGTATAAATGCACCTGCTCTTTGACAGTCTCAGGGTTCTGTTTAAAGCGCAGAGAGAACCATGAAGACAAAGGAACACACCAGGCAGGTCCAAGATACTGTTGTGGAGAAGTTTAAAGCCGGATTTGGATACAAAAAGATTTCCCAAGCTTTAAACATCTCAAGGAGCACTGTGCAAGCAATTATATCGAAATGGAAGGAGTATCAGACCACTGCAAATCTACCAAGACCCGGCCGTCCCTCCAAACTATCATCTCAAACAAGGAGAAGACTGATCAGAGATGCAGACAAGAGGCCCATGATCACTCTGGATGAACTGCAGATAACTACAGCTGAGGTGGGGATGGTGTGTTCAGGGTGATGAGTTGTGTTGCTTTTACGCCAAACATATCGTTTTGCATTGTGGCCAAAAAGTTCGATTTTGGTTTCATCTGACCAGAGCACCTTCTTCCACATGTTTGGTGTGTCTCCCAGGTGGCTTGTGGCAAACTTTAAGATACTTTTTATGGATATCTTTGAGAAATGGCTTTCTTCTTGCCACTCTTCCATAAAGGCCAGATTTGTGCAGTGCACGACTGATTGTTGTCCTATGGACAGACTCTCCCACCTCAGCTGTAGTTATCTGCAGTTCATCCAGATCATGGGCCTCTTGGCTGCATCTCTGATCAGTCTTCTCCTTGTTTGAGATGAAAGTTTGGAGGGACGGCCGGGTCTTGGTAGATTTGCAGTGGTCTGATACTCCTTCCATTTCAATATAATTGCTTGCACAGTGCTCCTTGAGATGTTTAAAGCTTGGGAAATCTTTTTGTATCCAAATCCGGCTTTAAACTTCTCCACAACAGTATCTCGGACCTGCCTGGTGTGTTCCTTGTCTTCATGGTTCTCTCTGCGCTTTAAACAGAACCCTGAGACTATCAAAGAGCAGGTGCATTTATACGGAGACTTGATTTCACACAGGTGCATTCTATTTATCATCATCAGTCATTTAGGACAACATTGGATCATTCAAAGATCCTCACTGAACTTCTGGAGTGAGTTTGCTGCACTGAAAGTAAAGGGGCCGAATAATATTGCACGCCCCACTTTTCAGTTTTTTATTTGTTAAAAAAGTTTAAATTATCCAATAAATTTTGTTCCACTTCACGATTGTGTTCCACTTGTTGTTGATTCATGAAAAAAAAAAATATTTTTATATCTTTATGTTTGAAGCCTGAAATGTGGCGAAATGTTGAAAGGTTGAAGGGGGCCGAATACATTCGCAAGGCACTGTACGTTTTAAAAATAACTCTTCAAATGAGCATGCGTTAAATATTTTATTTAGTTAAGATCAGAAACCTTTCACTCTGCATAAAAAAAGTCCTACTGTCATTGAAGTAAGAATAAAGTTACACAAAACATTTATATCATTCCTTGCTCTCAAAAGTTTTCACATGCATGCATTTGGGCCTCCCTCTTCAGATCAACGTTTTAGAGTAAAAAGTGAGTACCAACTTTCAGTCAGCCAATCAGCGCTCAGTATGTAAGATAAAATGTTTTTTAAAGTGACAAAAACAATATATTGTGGTCTGGTTGTTCTCAAAATGTTACTCAAACACAACTTCTCTTTTGACAAGTGTATGTTTTAAATTCAAACTATACTATGATTTAGGCTTCTTTGCACTGTATAGCCAATATCGCACACAGGACTTGATACTTGATACCAGGACAATACCAGGAAATAGTGAACCCGATCAGGCCTGGACTTGTTTGGCCTCTGGAGGTATGTGCCCATCCTTCCTCGGAGCGTGGCACTCCTAGACTAATTATTTTACATGTTTGTAACCTCAGGTGAATTGCAGAATGTACAGCAGATAATGGCCCTTTAGAATAATAGTTTTAAGTATAATTCTCAGACTGCTAATGTGTTGTAAGTGGTTGCTGGCAAAAGTTGAACTAATTTGCCAGCAAGGTTTTGAGAGGCATTGATAGATGAGATTCAGATAAGAGACACATGAAGTCACAGTATCTTATTAGAGATGGGACAAGACAGATCTCTTTGCCACGTGGCGTCTTTGCACACATTTAAATGATCATGTCACTGTATTTCCATATATTTAAATTGGGCATTCATGGAAAACGGGTAGAAAGCTGCTGTTGATAAACCAAACAAACAACAAAGAGAATCTACCTGTGACATTTACTCACTATAAATGTGGTGAAGTCTATCATGTCCGCCTCCCCCCACTGGACTAGTTTACCTCCCAAGCAAGATGTTCAGAATCAGACCCTAATTATTTAGTTAAGAGTGGTATACAGTGAGTTAGTTGAGTTGTACTTACAGATCTAGGCTACACGTTAGCATATTTTATTGTGGGAATAACAGGTTTCATGGTACCCGTCGTACACTCGACTTGACTTTCATTAACGATTCATTAACTGGGTGGGTTTCCTCTGGGCGCCCCGTTATCGCCCACCACCCAAAACATGCAACAAAATCCTCCAGCTCTGGTTGTCGTGACCAAGCCAAGCATGAACATTTGGAAATGGACTGTACTTTTTCCGAAATTTTGACTAATAAAATCAATTAAACAAATCAATAAATTGATAAATGAATGGATGAAGAAACTCTTGTGGGAAGCCAGATCGTGTTCGGCAGCTTCTCAATTGTTATTTAAATAACCTATGCAAACTTTCCCTTATCGTAGGAGTTGCCCGTTGTGGTTTTATAGAGAACAGACTAATAGTTTTCACGCTGAGTGCTTTTGTGTCTGGTGCTGATATGTGCGGTATGACAGTTGTCTGCTCTATTGTTGTCAGCGTCAGCGCCTGGGTGTGGAGCTGCAGGCGGCATGCTAAAAGTGAAGGTGTTGGCAACCATTCAGTCATGTATGAAGGACAGGCTCCAGCGTCGATGCAAAACTAGTTATTAGTATCTCTTTCATCTTTCAGGAATTTATGAATATTTCAGGTTTCTTAAGTTTTTCTTTGCACACATAAGTCCATATAAATGCTATTTTCTTGTATTTGTAACCATAACATGAGTTTAAATGTATATGAAAACATCACATTATTGCTTTTTAAGATAATGAGATTAGAATAAGAGATCTTTTATTAGTCCCACAGTAGGGAAAATTCAATGTTGCAGCATACAGGACAGTAGTAAGAGCACACAGGGAGCACACAAAATATACAAAATAAGTAGTAGCTATGTTTCTTAGCTAGCTGTAAATGCTTTAAAAAACATATATGTACTAGTGCAAAATTATATACCGTACATTTTTTCCTGGTAAATTCAAGACAATAATAGTTATTTGTTGCTTAGTCTAAAACAGTATTAAAAAAAATCATAACAAAAACAATAACAACAAAAGTGATGTGTATTGTCTATTGTTAAAGACTAACCCTATTTTTTATTTCTTGTTCCATTCAGTGGTGTGTTGTTGGTACAGACACATTCATAGTTTGGTGTGAGCGGAGACATAACGATTATTCTTAAGTCGGTGTGACACGCTTCTGTGCACATGCAGACAGATCTCAGAAATATTGTTCTATCAGCACATTTCTTTTTTCAACATCAGTCAACAACACTTCAGACAAGCTGGAGCTAAGTCCCCTCCGACCACAGATCCAGTAAAGACTCTGTGCCGAAGATAATTCCTTCTGCGGTTTACAGCCTCAGCCACAGCTCTTAAAAATGAGGTGTTCCCTAATAATCAAGAGCACACGCTAAATTGTTTTGTTTTTGTGAAGTTAGTCCATGGATTGTGCTTTCACTGTAGATGCTTTCAGGAAGGAGTTGTGTGTTTTGTGACAGAAAATCCTGCATCACATGATTGGGGATCAAAGAGCAGCCAAGGGACCACCCCACAGCAGCACTAGAGGTATGTAAAAGGGAAAATACAAGAGTGGGGTTGCTTTTTAAAACGTATCAACAATTTAAAACTCTCATATTTGATTGCTGCGGGGACTTCAACTTCGGCCTATATGCGAGGAGATAATTGTGACGTAAAGAAGAGACGAAACCACGTGTTAATCCCAACCAAATTATGACAAATCATGACTAATGCAAGAGAGAGAGAAGTGAATCCATATCAAACAGAAAAAAATCAAAGTCTGTTGTTGACTAATAGCAGATGAATTTAATATAATCCTTTTTTTAAGTCCATTGAAACTGAGCTGTAGTTTACATACACCTCATTCACAAAAAAGTACTTAATGTGTCTTTAATATGTTCTGCTTCAATGCAACAACTTGGATAGGTTTAGTGGTTTTATTTAAAGCTACAGGCACTAATTCTATCACTATACAAAAAAACTACGCATTTAACTAGTTCCTTGTTCTCGAAATAGTATCCACCACTTATTTTCCTGTTGCATCTTTATGAGTTTGATTCAGAACAGTGAAAGAGAGAGGACCACTCTTGCCCGGCGAATCAGCTCGCAGAATAAAGCGTCATATACTGACTCAAAGCGCCATTTTTTACATGTATGTAAAGTATTATTTTTATGACTTATGCAACAGAAACAGCTTTATGTGTTTTGTTTGTGTTTATTTGATACACAAACTATGGATGCACGATATATCGGTAAAAATATCGATATCGGACAATGGTCATCATTTAGATGAGTAAAGTTGGGCCAATAACTACAACCAGAAAAGAAAAAAAACATTGATATTGGTAAATATTGGTCATCGACCATTACAGAAAAAAATTCTATTGGATAAATTGTCATATATGTGCATCCCTAACACAAACAATAAAAAAAATCTTATCTTGTCTTAATAAATATTCTCTATTGATAATGGCTATTGCTCTTTCCTACATATACAGCTAGTTTACAACATTTACCCAAGGCTTTCACCAGTTCTGACCATGATTATATTCACAAGCTTCATACAAATGATGAGGAACACGTCTAAAAATATTTTAGAACTTCATGGAGGATTACGAGAGGTGAATAAAACAGGTTCTGTGACATTCAATCAAAAATAATATGTTTAGACGTTGTGTAGGAAAGAATGGTCCTACGCCCTGATGAAATGATAGGACAGAATGAATCATGTCAGAGCTGTCAGCAGCCTCGTGTTATAACATCAGAAGTAAATAAGATTTTATCATCTTAAAGAAACAATCTAAAGAGCATATATACAACTGTGATCTACTTTTCTAACCAGTGAGCAGAAATATACCTCTGTTTTAAGCGGGGTTGTGACAATTCAGAATATTCTAATTTTGGTCTGATTCACACTGAGAATTCCGCATCAGAAAAGAAAAAAATTGGTTAAAAAACATCCAGTGGCGAAATTATTACCACAATTATAATGTGATTACAAAAAACATTACAATACCATAAAATCACAATGTGATTACCGTAATTTAACATCAACTACTTTCTTGTATAAACTGAAGATGTTAAAAAATAATTGAAAAGTTGTGTTCATTAAACTGTGTAGTTTTTTGTTCAATTAAACTAATCAGAAACAGAAACAGTCATATGGTGTAATAATACAAAATTAACATTATAAAGCTGTTTTTTTCTTATGTGAATGAACAGGAACATACAGTTAAATCCTGAAATCACAAAGGCATAATGTGATTCAGTGAAACAGTCTTTAACCCTTAAAATTAGCAACGGTAATGCCATGTTGAGAAAACGGTAAATCCCTGGAACCATATTTGCCAGCTTTTTACCGTCTACAAGGACATTCTTTACAGTGTTGGTATAGTCCTAGTGATCCCCGTAGTAGTGCGCCTTGGGTCCCATCTCCATGTGGCGAGGTTAGGCCTGGACTGGACTTCGAGAGCTGCAGGATTTGACCTAGTATGCAGGTCTTTAGACGCTCGAACACCCGGGGGAAAACTACACAGACAGGGTAAACTCAAAAACTCCACTCAGAAAGGCCCTCTTCCAACCGGATTCATACCTCCTTAATGAGAAGAGTGGCAGCCATTCACTCAGTCACTCAAATATAATCTGCAGTAGTATGAGGAAACAACATGTCAACGCACTCAGTGTGCCTCACATAATCTGTTATGATTGTTATTTGCTAAATGGTCTAGACTTCATACTTGGTCTGGTTCACTTTAAAGAAACTAATTCTCATTCACCTGGTGCAAATATGCTTTATTTGTGGATGTGAAAACAGTAAAAATGTCCGTTAAGTATATATATATATATATATATATATATATATTTAGAGATAGACCTGTGTAGCTTTTTGTCCATGAGAAGATTTGTTTTACCCTTGTTTCCCCCTACTCTTGCTCAGATCTTCTCGGCCTGGTTGCCGTCCTAAATGTCTAGTTTTGAAGATTTGTTTTTAAATGATTGTAATCATTATCAGCGTTAATATGGGGATTGGCTTCATCATTCATTTGTGACCACAAATCAAGTGGTGGACTTCACATATGAATGAATGTCTCTGCTGGTCAGAACCTGGGGCAAGCAGATACTGAAAATGACTGGGTTTGGTTTAGTTTATTAGTGAATATAATTAATTTTAATAGTTGTATGTTTTTAGTTTTGTCTTCCTGGGGCCTCACTAACAACTATAGCCACAAGGAACTATTGAGTTTGGCGTAGCACCAAATGTCTGAACATTTTCTTATTAAATTCCTGTCACCAAGTTTGATGCAATGAGGAGGAAGTTACCAGTCTCGTCTAATTAGTTTTCTCGTCTTTCCCCTTTTCTGTGAACTGACAGTATGTCTTCGTAGCTTCCCTTTGACTCATATTAAGACTGCACCTTCATATACAGGAAAAAATGATACTAAAATTAGGGCTGTCAAACGAATAAAAAATTTTAGTTGATTAATCGCATAGTAATTGTGAGTTAACTCACGATTAATTGTATTTTTAATATTCTATTTCAAATCCACTCTAATTGAAGTTAAATGAGATTATCAAATGTAATGACACATTATCATTCATACCATCCATCCATTTTCTTCCCCTTAATCCATTTCTGGGTTGGGGGGGGGGGAGTACACAGAGCACCAGCCCCTCACTGATCCTCCTGCAGGTGGTGAGTCCACAGGAGCTGGGATCTTTCAGTGGGAGCTTCAGGCAAAGTGGGGTTAAGTGTCTTGCCCAAGGACACAACGACAACAGTCATCAGTGGGAGTTGTGACGTAGGTCTTGTGGTGGGCTTGAACCCACGACCTTCAGGCTCAAAGGCCAATGCCCTACCAACTGAGCCACTGTCGTCCAACTTCCAATCATTCATACCAAATGTACTTTGCTTTTACTTTTGGGCACAACCAAAATGAGCTGATAATGAAAGGGGAAAATGTACGTACCCCAGCTTGAATTTAGCAAGTTTAGTGGCGTTTCAGGAGGAGACACGGACACTTCCGCGGTGTATTTGGGTGCACAGGTTACGCACAGGTTGCAAGACACACACAACATGCAGAGAATAGTTCTGTGCGTGTATGGTCTAACCGCGGCGCCATTAGCGGCTCATAGCGGCTAGCAACAACCAGCGCGGCCGCAGCTGCCCCCAGGGCAGCAAACAACAGCCCCGTGGTCACGCGCGTATTCTTTTAAAACTTGAATTCCCAGAGAGCCTAGCTGCTCTGTTGCCATCTCACACACGATTGAATCTGCGGCATTCTGAGTGATATTATGGATAAATGGGCGGGTCATTCGGACATGCGTTAATGGGTTGATTAATTTTTACGCGTAGATGAAAAATCTATTGAGTTAACAAGACAATTTTCACAGCCCTACTAAAAATAAATCTGCAAGACCGCAAAAAATGAACCGCTAGTCAGCGAGGGGCCATGTACAAATAGAAATCTGAAACTTGTGATTCTGGAAGAAATAATCATCTCGATTTCTCAAAAAGCAATCGATTTAACTGAGGGGCTTGTAGGATTCTTGTACAAGAGGTGTGGGCTTGTACAATAGATTAAAAAAAACAAAAAATGTAATTGTTTTGATTGGTTGATTGATAGAGGGTAGTGTATTAAATATAGACTAAAAAGCAGATGTGAATTTGACTGACCCTGATTTGAACTCTGTCTCTTTCCTAAGCAAAAAGACCTGGTCTCAGCTTCTTCCTTTGTAGTCCAAAGTGCAGAATATGAGTTAATGATAGTTAGTTCATTTTCCCACCGTGTTGCTATGTCCCGTAACCATAGCAACACACTGTTTACTAGCAGCAGTTAGCCTTTGATTAGCTTCTCAACTAACTTATTTTGTCTGTATTTCAGTTAAGACCAACTTTATTTAACCTTCTCAATTACTTTTAAAACATGCAAGAGATACTATACACTTTTTTGTGTTTAGTATTTCTCCATAACTGCTTTCCATTTTTGCCCCTGGTCTGTCTAAACGGGCCAAACAAGTTATAAAAGTAAAAGTAGATATCGGGCATGCATCAAATATCTCCATGAATTGTCTATACACAAGTGCACACAATAGATATTTAACAGTTCAGTACATAGATAGTGGTAAACGGTGACTATAAGGTGAATAGAATAGCACAAATATATATTATAAATGAACCTTGCAAATTCTTAATAAAACAATAACAGAACTAATTTATATATACACACACAATAAACTTGTCACAGTGCAGGTTATCAGGTTATAAACGCCCAAAGTTACAACATTATTAAGTGGTAGGAGTTGTAAGATAAGATAAGTAAAAACTTTATTAATATCACAATGACGAAATTGACAAAAGTGCAGATTGTAAAGTGATGAGTCCATGAGTCAGAAATAGTTCCTGAGGAGAGGAAAGGTTGTGGACTGGATAAAATGTAACTCAGATTGTAGCCAAAAATGATAATAGATTTGTGGATATAGATCAATTACTAAATATATAATAAGGTTAAATAAGAAGGTTCTGCATACATTTTTTTGTCTTATCAAAATAACTCTCTAGGCATCAATACATTACAAATATCTACAACAACTAGTAATAAATGTATCTTGATTTTAGCACTGGCATGGTATAAGTCTACAGTATACACACTGCAAATGGCGTTACAGTGGGAGAATATGAATAAAGGTCACTTACTGGACTGCATTGATGTTATGGCGACTGGTGCGGTGAGGCCAGAGTCATTTTTTCCAACCACTGCAACCGCTGTGTACAAGAGGAAACCAGCTGTTTGTAGTAGCATAAGCAACGACAGAGACAGCAGACGCATTATACATTTCGACTGCATAAGGCTTCTTTATTTCAGGATTTATTTGCCGGCATTAACAAAGGCAACTCTCTGTGTGTTCTCAGGAGAAAACAGCTCAGATTTGGTCAGGCACTTCCTCATTGAGTCATCGGCCAAAGGAGTCCGAATCAAAGGGTCTTCCCAGGAACCCTACTTTGGTGAGTGCTTCTAAACAGTCACGGATGAGTTTTCCAATACAATCTGGGTTTGAGTCGCTCTTGTCTAATGTGTAATCTCCTCAAATGACTAAACGGCATGTCTAGTCTGCGGGGATGTGGGTGGGTAAAGTCTACATTGATTCACAGCAATGAGGTCATAAGGAGTGGTCTGCCTATTTTAATACACAACATTACAATTTAATCCTAATAGTGAAATATTTGGTGTGATTATTATGTTCTACACCAGTCCATTGTAGGAATGTAGTGTTGTTTATAAACCGGGTAATGACGAAATTGCCGCTAATATCAAAAATGATCACGTACATTTTGTAGTGTAATGCATTATAATTTTAAGTAAAGACGTTTGAAATCCTAACACCATTCTATCTATGCACAATAAATATGCATATTATTTGATTTTATAAAGTGTACTTGGTTGTGTCTCCGTTATACTTTAGTATCTGGTACCGTATCCTAGCAACCTGCCATCAAAAAACCAATATCCGGGTAAATTCCTTGGTAACCATGGCTTCCAGCAGCACTCTAGCCAATCACTTTGAGTTGGAAAAAAATGGTACCAGCTCGGCTTGGCTATACCCCCGTTTCCAGGCTCGGTATAGCCTAGGGCTGGTGGAAACGGGGCTTATGTCTCCAAATAGACTATACACATTTGAGCTCCTTTAGCAGACAGTTTATTAGTATATTCATTATAGACTGTATATTTCTATGTTTTAATTATTATTTTTAACGGTACTGTAGGGAGTCTGCCAGCCTTAGTTTACCAGCACACAATCTCAGCCTGTGCCCTCCCATGCAGACTGCTGCTCTCCTCTCATGGTAAGCTCCATATTTTATTAATACATTTTTATTTTTTATTTTTATGATTGGATAATATTGCAAACGTGTCTTTTGTTCATGCAGAGCTGAGTGCAGCAGAGAACAACAAGTCAAAAACAGAGGACAAGAAGAAAACAGGTAAACTTACTGTGTGATCCATCATAAGCCTGATAATGGTAACTCTTGCTAGCTGAAAATGTGTGAGAAATTAACCAAACAATAATCCCCATAGTAGCACAACAAATACTTTCAATAATATATGTTGTGATTTCTGAACACAAAGGCAGAGTCATAGCTCAACTAAACTCACTAACCATGATGTCACTACAGCCAACGTGTCAAAGAATGTTAACACTTGACTTGAGTCAGCTGGTTAATAGGATCTACTCATCTATAAAACCTACACCCAGATAACAAGTCTTGCAAAATCCATCCTATTCCGCCTTGCATTGGCACTTCTTCAACCAGTTTCCCGAGTTACACATTTATGACGTAATATTTACAGTCTATGCATATAAGTTGTGATATGATTTGAGTAAAAATAATAATTAGAGTAAATAATAAATCATAATCTATAATATATTAGGGGTGGGCGATATGGACAAAAATAAGTATCTCAATATTTTTTTTCCAACTCCCGATAAAGATGTTGTCATGATATCTTTAAAAATCAATCATTTTTACACAAAATGATCTGTAATGTTTTGCTGCCAGGACATCTATAGATAGAGACAGTGTAGATCTAAATAGAAGCTTCATACTTCTTTGCAAAACATGCACAAACATACAGTATATTAACATTAAAAATCAAATTCAAGAAACACAGAAAGAACACATCCAAAAAGGCTCAATATTTACTGAAATGTTCAAATAAAGCAGTGATTGGCTTTTGAGGCACACATTAGACCAAATGGGCATTTGTCCTTCTCTAAATATAATATGTATGTAAAAAGAGAAAAGCAAAAAGCATATCTTCAAATCGACTTTCAAGATATTTTTGTCTACGATATATTTTGCCCACCCCTATACTATATATCTTTCACTTTCTAAAATGTCGTTGTCCTAGTAGTAGTAGTAGGGTTGGGTGTATCCATGGAATTATGCATTGCAAAAAGTGATGAAAAATAGGTCAAAAAATTTGGCCAATTTGCCTTAAAACAAGAATTGCCAATTGGACAAAATATACAAGAAATGTCTCCCTTGGAATGAGAAAATAAAGGAACAGTTCAGCATGGTTCCATTGGAAAATATTCTTTTTTAAATATAGTTTATTGTTTATTGAGCTCTTGGACATATAGGAGTAGAGTCAACTGAACAGAAATGCTCATATGGGCCCACCCCATTCTGACTATTTTAACACTGTTTTAAGACAGTCAGAATGTACTCAAATTAAGACAAAACCCACTTGATTCAAGCATTTATTACCTCAAATTGTATCATATTTTGCAGCGTATTTCTCACATTGTTTGTCTTACTGTATATATGTTTACTGATTTCTTTTCCGCAGCCTCCAACTTTGTGTATCTAAACGCTGTGCCCACGGAGATGCTAACCGGCCCATGCGCGGTCCAAAAGGCAGTGACTATGACGTTCGAGAAGGCCTCTGGCTCCTTTACACCCGCCATTGTCAACATGAAGGTCTCCCCCAAAGGCGTTACGCTCACAGACATCAACAGGAAGTAAGAAAATAAATCTCATCTTGCGGTCCTCACACCGTCATGTGTTTGTAACAATGTGGTTTGCTCTTCTCAGGCTTTTTTTCAGACGCCATTATCCCATCCACCTTCTAAGCTACAGCGGGGCCGATCCGGACGCTCGACGGTTAGTATGAGCAGAAATCACAGCGTCGGTTTCTTTATTTTTGTGTGAATTCAAAGTGAATCAAAGCACAAAGATACCATACTGACTAGGCCACACCCACATGAGAAAGCCTGCTCCCAGTAGTTCTCTGGAAGCTGCAGGACAGGGCCTATGTTAGTAGTCGGCAATAGATCATATATGAAATCGGGACGGAAGTGGAAGTAAATATAGCCAACTACCTAAACTAATAGATCCATGCCTAAAATTAACCAGCCATTCCCATAGAATAACCCCAACCCACCCTTAACCCTAACCGCAACCATCTTACTCAGACACCTCCGTCCCGATTCGGTATATGATCTAGTGCTGATCCTATGTTAGTGAGGTGGACATGTGACCACCCATCAATCATCAGGAAGCTCATAAAGGTCAGTTAGCAATAATAGATGGAGTTCAGAGTGATCCTCGTCTTCTTTGTCAATATTAACTATGGTCTAATTATTTTCTCGCAAAGTTGTCGAGAAAATAATTGTTCACAAGATGAGATAAGATAAGAGAGCCTTGATTCATCCCACAGTGGGGAAATGTTGTGTTGCAGCGCACATACAGGACAGTAGTAGAAGTAAGGCTTTTTTGTAACTTGCTGTAAATACTTCATGTAATAAGAGCAGCCAGTAACACATATGCATGATCTTAGCTCATAGAAATGACTTTTAGAATAAGAATAATATGGAGGGTTTGTGAAAATAATCACTATCAAATAACAATCTGGGAGAACTTTTCAATATTTTCTTTTTAAACATTTACTTAAAAAAATACTTTGCATCTAACCTCCAACTTAAATACAATCCTACAACATGAACACAATCCACTCGGCTGAATACTTTTCCAAGTCCCGTTATATATATATATATATATATATATATATATATATATATATATATATATATATATATTTAAAATGTATCAAATTGCTTTCATTTCACATTTGTTTACCACTTTATAAAAAACTACACTGTGTTAGTGGCAATGATGTGACAAAGTGTATTTTATTCACAATATTAATCTTTTTATATAACAATAATTATCTTTTATATTGAAAAGAAGGCAGCAAACCGATCAATCCTCTCAAAAGCATCATACTTTTTAACATTTAAACTATTGCAATTTGGTGTAAACGTGTTTTTAAACTTCTTGTCTTGCTCCAACAGGTGGAAGAGAGGCACAGATTTTGGGGCAAAGTAAGTTCTTTTCAATTGCATTTAGTTTAGTTTCCATCTACCCCAGTTTGAAATCTAAAAGTTTTCTTCTTTCTTTTACCGACAGGATGTTTGGGTTTGTGGCCAAAGGTGTTGAGGCTGGAGTGGAAAATGTGTGCCATGTTTTTGCAGAGTACGACCCCCTGCAGCCCTGCGACAAGATCGTCTCGTTTATTCAAGATACAATCACTAAAAAATAGCTCTACCCTTTCTGTAAATGTCATCTAATATAACAACTGAGGAGAACTTCTTCAAAAGATCCAAAATGTACAGTTTACAACTTAGCGCTTCTAGGTTTAGGAAAAATACAGAATGAACTGGACTGTTTCTCAACATCTATGCGTAAATTATATGTATTTTTGATGGACAATTTTGAAAGATACTTGATGCTAATGTAGATACTTGACATTAGCTTTTATTGTATATTTATTATTTTTTCTACCTGTAATCTCTGTATAATAGCTGTTTTTGTCATAGAATAAATAAACCATCAAACCTCATACCTCACTGTCTTTGTAATATGGAGAATTGTCTAATTATATAGATACAAAAACGTAACTTTTGACCTGTAGAATCAAGTCCCAATTTCTCAATACATTTAATTCACTGCCAAATTAAAAATACCACTTTATCATGGACAAATTGACACATGTAATCCAGGTTTATTATGCAGATAGTTTTATTTAATTGATAATAATAAGTAATTAAAGGCAAAAATCTTTATTCAGAAATCTACAGCGCTCCCAAATGTTAGAGCGAGCATGTTGAAGCAAACCAGGCACAAAACTGCATAGATATATTAGATTTTATTTTATTTTTTACATTTTTTTCATAATACGCTCATTTCTGGCAACAAATGCATTACATGAAGCTCCGTCTCCAGTTTTCCTTTGATGCCAATAGTAATGTTATAAATAAAATGTCGAGTAACCAAAGCATGACACCAGGACAATACACAGCGCTGTCAAACTATGTACAAATACTGCCCTCTACTGGCAAAGACAGGTACCTACATTCTCCGTCATCACCGCGAGAAGATAAAAAATAAAATTATAGTAAAAGACTAAAGAGACTGTCTAAAATATTATTATTTTCTCCAGAAAGGCGGGAGTTAAGCATACATGAAGCACTTTCAAACAATAAGTGTGCAAACAATATTTTTCAGTCAGTGCTATTTGAATTTTTAGATCGTCAGTGCAAAGCAGAATACATACATACACACCCTTAAAAAACCTGTAACTTTCTCTGTACCCTCATTGAATTAAACTCAATAACCAATAAGTTAATAGTAATAATCAAGAATACGGAATGCACCATTTTTATATACGCTCTATAATTTGTATGTTATTTATTGCATAAAATATTGTTTTAGGGGGTGAGGATTTATGAGAAGACTAAACTTGTTACTTTTTTCCATATTTTCCAGGCCAATTTCAATATTTCCTCTGTACTCTACTCTGCTCTACCCCTATTCGTTTCCACCTGCCCTGTTTAACTAGTACCAGGCACTTTTGTAGCACTTGCTTGGCCCTATGGTTCTGCCCAGGCCAGAAAAACAAAACTTTTCTGTCAGCGATTGGTCAGAATCTTGATTAAAGTGTAATGGAAATGCAACCAGGTAGAGTTGAGCTGAGTAGAGTATAGGAAGTTAGTCGGGCAGGTGGAAATAGGGCTTTAATCAGCAAAAATATGGAGCCAAATCAGGCCCAGCGAACCGTAATCTGTCGTCTTTTTGTCTGTATTAGCAGATGATAGTCACCTACATTTCCCCTCGTGTCATAAATAGTCTATCAATCTATGGATCAATTTCATCTGACTCACCGGCCATCTCCAAATATGAAAATCAGAGGGTGTGAAGAGGTTGGGATAACATAAAAAAAACAAATAAGAAATACTAAACCGGCTAACTAACAGTCCAAATTTTGTTTACAGGTTTGGCTGCATTCATTCAGGACTGCATGGTACTACCTAAACAAATACTGTGTGTTAAAAGCGCTGGTGCGATATGCAATAATCCGGTCCAGAAACCGAGGCCTTTCTTTAGAATGTGGCCCTCTGGAAAATACAGGTGAATGGCCCTGACCTACACTATAAAATGAACACTGGGTTGACAATACTCAGATCTATTTTTGGGCCTAATTCGGGGCTCAACCTGGACAGAAGTCGCGGGACACTCTCCTCACTCTTACATTCATCCAACATTTCATTTACCGCAGCTAAAGTGACCGTAACCAAAAGACGCACAAACATGCCAAAGCATACAGCACTGAAAATCATGAAAGTCAAAAGCACGATTGATAGTGTTAAAGCTGCTCTACGTGACTTTCTTGGAATGGAGATGTTTTCACCTGCTCGTCTCCATTCACTAGTTATTGTTATACATTTGCCTATTCCCGATGAAGGGCTGGCCTCTCCACAGATATCGTCAAATAAGATAAGGCGAAAAACATTCTGGACATTAAAAACAAAAGGATCCTAATAGAGACAAAACAAGCTAGAAAAGTTACATGATATATCTTTAAGAAATTATTATATTCAGATCATACGCTGTCACGATACTTGCTGACACTATAAATCAATGCAGTCGTTGTACAATGCATGGAAAAGAAAGGATTTCAAAAAGAAGTCCACAGAAAAGAACCATGAGTTTATAATAGCACACTGGTGAGAACAAAATATGGATTGTTTTTTTGTGTGTACGTCCAACACCAAAACATTTAAGGACATCCTGCTTATTGCATTTCCTGTCTTTGAACGGTTTGATTCTCTGATGTATTGTTGAGGAATCCACAACTTTGTAAAATTCTCAGAGACGGCTGTTGTTGTGATTTAGGACTACACAAAAATGAGTTTCATTGAATTGAACATGATATTCAAAGAAACGGATAACTTCTCACAGAGGCTTCCAGTTTATATAGATGTCGTGTGATTGGAAATAAAAGGATAAAAGGTTTGGCTGTATTGATATCTTGAATTTATTAACTTATTTGACCAACCACTGGGGAAAACATTTTAGGCTAAAGTCTAAAGTAAGCAAAATATCTCAAAAAAGGCTTTGAGACATTGGATTAACATTTATGCTCATCAATTAATACTGCATTGAAAATAGGAAACCATGGCAACCTGCACACTTACTGGTGAAAACTGGGAAAATTGGAATATTGTCCAAAATGTACTTCTGTAATTCAAGGTTTAAATGTGAAACTAACATATGACAGCATGATACTTAAAAGCAAAGTGAGATACACCAAGCCTGAATTTGAAACCTAAAATAAAACATCTAAAATAATAATAATAATAAAATAAAAAGGGACGTTAAGCCAGAAACCACCTGCAGGTAAAAGCCAGATCCCGTCAGAAATCTGAACTAGGCAGGACAGGGCTTGGTGGTCAGAGGGGCCGATGGCACATACTGCTTGCCTCACTTCTGTCAGTCTGCCCAAAGTCAGCTGTGGCTACAATAGCGGTTCATCACCACCGTGCATGGAGCGAATGAATAATGACACGTGAAGCCTCTTTGAGTGTCCAAAAAGCGCTGTATACAGTAAAAACCAATGCATTAATCATAAAAGCTTAGCATACATCACTTTGTATGTTGTGAGTTTGTATCATACATTAGTCCCACATTGTAAATTTAATTCAAGATATAAATGAACTTTGTTTCCTTCCTCCCACTCCTTTTCGAGTTTGAATAATGTCCAATATTGTAAAAAGTAATTGTAAATGAATGAACGGATTGTACGGATGTGTTTCTGTCAACGGACATCTGAATTTCTCCTACGGGACCAATAATATATCTATCTATCCTTGGGAGTTTCTTCTGTACAACCCGATAACTCGATTTAACCGGACATGACAAAGCCTTATCCCACATGGAAGATTTTGTTTGCTTTTTTGGATGTTTTTCTCTCCCAAAAAAATGAAGACACACCATTACAAGAACTGCACAAGCATGATCTAATAAACCAGGGGTGTCAAACCGGCTCCAGAAAGGGCCAGTGTGTGGCTGCAGGTTTTCGTTCCAACCTAAGCAGGAGTAATACCTTAGGCAGACTCCATCCATTTCTTTCAAATCTTCAGGTTAAAAAACTGGACTCACCTGAGGAAATGGGCGGAGTCTTCTGTGCTCCTCCTCAGGTTTGACGACCGGTTTGACACCCCGTGATGTAAGTTAACACGTCTAAAGCGTTAGCAAAACTCATGTCCCCTCAAGCCTTTGTACAAACACCCCTCCTCCACAGTGTGCGTCTGTTACTGTGCGATGGAGGCGATGCTGCGCGACCTCTTCATGATCAGCCGCACCTCCACGTCCGGGAGGCTGTCCTGTTTGGTCTGAGCGCAGCCCTCGTCCGCCACGGCCATGTGCAGGTCGAACCGCAGGGACACGGACTTCTTACGCAGCTTGGGGTTCCCTCTGAAGAACGAGCCCTCCCACTGCTTTATCACTTTGTCGATATTCTCTGTCCTGGAGGCAAGAGCAGACCACACAATGGGATGGTTTAGTTTAGTTTAGTTTATTAAGATTCCCATGAGCCACTGTAGTAAATAAACCTGCTACAGATGAAAACTAGCTTCATGGCTAAATCTGGCATTTTTACATGAACACATTAATTGACTCCCACTGATGACTGCTGTCGTTGTGTCCTTGGGCAAGACACTTAACCCCACTGGGGGGCTTTGGGCAAAGGCTATGCTCACAGTCAGAGAGCAGCCGTCCTCCTGTGGACTCACCACCTGCAGAGGATCAGTGAGGGGCTGGTGCTATGAGACTTGGCATCTCTGATTGCCACCCCCCTGACCCAGAAATGGATTAAAGGGTAGAAAATGGATGGATGGATGGAACTTTGGTTGATAAGCTCAATTAAGTTTTATCATATTATGTCAACGCTAATTTCTAGCAAGAGCAGGTAACACTGGTCTTTTACAACATTTGAATGCATTTTTAACTGATTCTTATTTCCTAACGAAGACTTAATCTTTGCTTCTTTATTATGTTAAAGTTAGAGATTTTATTTTGTTGTGTGCTCCTCATTCCTTGTGCTCTGTAACTAGTGACGCAACACTGACATCTTCATCAACAGGGGGCAGCAACGAGCAGCAGCAGCAGAGCTATAATTCTGTTGTCCAAGTCCACATTGTTTATACTGTCCACAGCATGAAGGAGATAAGATGAGTTAGATTTAAAGTTTAAATTTCTTCGAAGGTGATCAAACCAAAACAACAGCACACACAATATATTCAAATGTATCTGTAACTGGTTTGTATAAACAAATGCAGAACTAAAACAACATAATGACACAAATCTCTTCAATTACATCCCAATTGTTGCCTTTATAGAGATCACACTAATCCGGTGTCGTCTTTGTGCCTATAATCCATCGACAAACCCGAGTTGCTGAGTTGCCTCGACCCGATTGTGACGTAAAAAACGCACATAAAACACGCAGGCACAAAGGTTACTGCGGCTTGTAGCACCTGCGTGAGGAACAAAAGATTGTCTTGTGGAATAATAACAGCCAGACGACACGCCCTGACGGCTGCTCCTCACATCAAACAGAGGAGCATTCCCATCGTGAAGCCTGCGTGGGAATCGTGCTGACAACTCCAGTGTGCCGGCAACAAACGCACGCTAAAGTGAGGCTTGCTTTTTGTCATGTCTCCTAACGTCTGCGAGGTGTGGACGCGGTAATGATAGTGTCTCATTACAAACTAATGGAGGAAGATGACAGATAATTACAAGGCATGAAACTATTAGAAAAGCACCTCTGACTGTCACTGAAGTGCGGCGGCTGCTGTGAAAGGAAAATGACTCAATGACTTCTTAGGAAAGTAAGGATTAGGCTTTGACAGTAGATGTGAAAATACAATGAACAACATATCTTTGAATGAGGAAAAACTTAGTTAAAGGGACAGTACGTTTTTCTCTATGTGTCCCCAGATAATAGGTCACGTATACAAATCATATGTGACCTTTTGTTATTCTTAATTAAAAAACCCCTTAAGGATCACCCTCCCTGTACAGGGAGGATTCAGATATTTTTCATTTAACTGCATCAGTATTATAACTTAACTTGTGTCAATATAGTCTTTTGAAAGCTTATTCCCACCTCTAAATGCATATTATGTTCAAATAAACATTAAATATCAACAAAAGTAAGTATTTGTAGTCAAACTGTATACATATAACAAATATATATTGTCCTTTCTTACCTTTTCATGCTAATATTCTGGGCCAAATCACGTCTAATCCACACATGTGTGCATTCATTTTGTCCGGGAGGGTCTAGAGAATAATTATATCCAGTTGTTTTTTCTTCAAAGTCATCCTTATAGTAGATATCCACTTTTAACGACACATTTGAGTTTTGAAAGTTGCCCGAACAAAAATAAAACCGCGTCTTTGCGCACTGTCTGAAGACGCCATTGTTTTTTTTACCCAGAATCACTGGGTATGTTCGTCTTCCTCTCAGTCTTCCCTTCAAAACAAGCCCTCACTCGGACTTCTCAGTGCTATGGTTTAGGGGGTACAACAAGTTGACGAAAACAAGCGCACCAAACTTCAGCCCTCCAGGCATTTACCTTTCTGTGCGTCATGACAGCATTGTCTTGACTACCATTGGCCGATTTGGATGTCAATCAAACCATCTTGTAGCCAATAATCTCAGGTTTCAGGCGATGTGTCGGACTTCAAGGTTCCTCCCACTGTTCGAGTGTTATTTGAATGCGTAAGAGAGGAAAGCGGAGCATTTTCACGGAGAACACGCGCTATATCTATATAAATAATAGCTTTTCTGTAAACATTTCAATATCTGGAAAAAAATCCTATTTATAGCAAGTGTAATAGCCAAAAAATGATATAATTTGATTTTTGGTGTAATAATGTTGATAATTTGCATGTAAAACACTTTGGCACAATTGGCACAAAAATGGACCGCTTGTGCCGAATGTGCCCATTAGTCACAAAAAAGCCCCCAGCATCAAAATGGTTTCACCTAAAGGTCTAAAATTTCATACAGTTGTTGCCAACACCACAGACATCTGCTCTGGTGAGTTTGAACAACATATCATAAAGTATGTCTTCAGGAGAACCTTTTGAAATTGCCTTTTTTTTTTCGAGACAAAAAAAACTAACTTTTACTCATGTTTGAGAAGGTGTAGTGCAGACTGTGTCCTTCCTAACAAACTGTAACATACATTTCCAGAAACTAGAAGGTGTTACCTTTCAAATGAGGTCTCATAACACAAGATCAGACACAAGATGTCCACACAGTAAGCATTTCTATTTGGGTATCATAATTCGAGAAGAAACAGGCGAAATTAGGTGATCCTTAAAACACCATGGACATGATGTCAATGTTATCTTCAAGGGGATCATCCAATCAGAGAGCAGAATGAGGCCCCAATTTGTGTTGCCAGTTTGTTAGACAACATTTTTCTTTTAGCTTATCTATAACAACATTCACAGACAAGAAAATAGCACCACACATATTTAAAAGTTTGAGTTTGAGCCATTTCTAGCCAAACCCCAGCAGGTGGAGTGCATCAGTAATCGATTCTAAGGAGCAGCAAGTGTCAGAGGCAGGACGATTCAGGCAATAAAAGTTGGATTGTAGTTATAATGACTTTACAAAGAGTGAATATTAAATACGGCCCCTTTAAAGGTCCCATTTTACCTTTAGTCAGCACAGCGACACCTAAGTGAAATACCAATGATTATTTTACACCAAAACAGATGCAAGGTGCGACGATTGGGGAATTTACAGAAGTAGATCAGAAAATAACTCTGAATGAAGCGATGACATCCCTTATGCAACAAGACACATGCCAGCGTTATGACTCTTATCACTGTTATCACCAAAATAGAAGTTGGCAAACCCCGATGAGAAAGCCTGAGCCTGAAAGATCTCAGAAGCTAAGCAGGGCACGTACTGGTAAGGACTGTGAAGGGAGACGCCTGGAAACACAGGTGCCGAGGGGAGGTTGTCAATTTGAATTTATTGCATCCAATCAGGAACTTGTGGGGGCGGGTCTAACTGGTCTAACATTGTCCCTCCATCTGAAAAAATCTGTAAGTAAGTGACCGAGGGGAGGCTGTAAAGTGTCAAACTGTTGCTGTGTTCTTTCGCAAGACACTATGAGTCTGGGGGATGGATAAACTGCTGGTGATAAACACCGTAATAACAATATTTTGCATAACAATTGCTTTGCCCGTACGATTCTCTCACCTCAAACAGCATCATAACTGTGACCTTACTTATCTGCTGATGTGTTCTTGAGCAAGAATTACCCCGTCGCCTCATATCTCTCCGATAAAAAATAAACTAACTAAAACGCCAGCTTTGTTTTATCGCTGAAGAGAAGCACAAGTCTGTTTGGAGAAAGTGCCTACATTTCAGAGTGGAACAGTGGTGCTGACAGCAGGTCATGGGGGGAGATGAGATCGATACTCACTCAATGGTGCCGTGTCCCTCCGCACTCTCTCGCACCACGTTCCCCTGAAGAATCTCCTGGGTTTTCACAGTGGAGATGGGCAGCTCCTTATCCAGCTCAGGCTCTGCACAAACAGGCCAGGAGTGAGACAACACAGAGCTGCTGATGGTGAGGGTTTGAGGTGGTTGATGTTATTCCACCAGCTTGATTCTCTCCTTCTTGTACAGTCGTTACTTGGTCAAGGAATGTGGAGGTTATTTTGGACAACAGCCAAACAAGTGTCAAGACATGAGGACAAGGAAGCAGCTATTGCACCTGTACATGGTTTATTTTCCCCCAGACTGAACAAAAAAAGAGACAGCCTTTTATATGATTTGTGCCAATGTGCATAGGTACAGAAGATGTCATCAGATAAAATTGACTCTCAGTATGCTTAAGATATACTGTAGATAGTACCGCAGTAACAATGTGGGTAAAACAAATACGTTTTGTTGTTCAGATAATAATGAGTAGCTGTAATACAGATATAACAGGTGTCCACAGTGCAAAATATGCTGGTCAGATTACACTCAAGCAAAATGTGTTTCCTCTGCAGAGTGGCTGGAGAGAAAAAGAGAGAGAGCGAGAGCGAGAGAGAGAGAGAGAGAGAGAGGTTACATTTTTCAGGAGTACTTAGGTAATCTATTTGGAACCAAATCGAACCAAACCCTCTATTGTCGCAATGTCCCTTCCACAATAAAGGATTTAAAAGTCCTCAGACCTGTTCCTCTATCTATCTATTTATCTATATATCTATATACAGTATCTATCTATTCACTTTCACTTTATTCTTGTATTGCCCTGAATCACAACAGTAGACTATCTATCTATCTATCTACCTACCTGTCCATTGGTCTTTCTATTGATATTTAGATAGACCTATAACATGGCCCTCACCTGTGAGTATGACGAGGCTCTGCTGTCTGATGAGGATGGAGCGTTTCTTGGGGTCGTGGTCGGGGTGCAGCAGAGGGGGGATGTCGGGCAGCGGCTCAGACTTGGGTTCGTCTGGAGTCAGAGCGAGGTCACTGTTCTCTGAGCTGCTCTCCCTGGAGTCTGTGCACGGAGACTTCCACAGGCGCAGGGACAGAGGGGCGCTGTTCCCACTCATGTACCTGCACGCACACATGCAAAAATATGTGAATCTACTGAGAATCATAAATCTCCCATCTAAAAAATGATAAAGGACAAATCTGAATTCTGTACCAATATTTAGTAAGATTAGTTTACTCGCACTTTGTTTTTGGCTTTAACTTCCAGGATTTCTGGGTGGAGGTGGAATCGAATTCAGAATCGCTAACCACTGCTCAGCCTGCGCCATCGAGCTGCTATCAATCTTTCACATTAATCTGGCCCTTATATATTTGGTATATGATTAAGCAAAATTGAAGGAATAAAAAACTAAACAAATTTGTTCGCTTCCTTGGATGATTTGTTTACAAAATAGTATTGAGCCTATATGGAATACACTACTCACATACAGTACATTACAAAAGTGATGTCTGCAACTTCAATTGTATTTTTTTTTCTTAGGAATATGTATTTTTGACCATATGACCTGCAGTGTCATCTGTATTGAAAGCCTTTTTCATAAGTAAAATATTTAAAGCAGTATACTATGCAGTACCATTACCAGTAGGCTTTCCTAGAGGATAATAGTTAGACCAATGGTGAGGGGCCCTCAGCTGTCAATCAAGGATTTTTATTTGTTGCGTCCAATCAGCACCTTGTGGGGGCGGGTCTAACTGGTCTAATATTGTCTCTCCATCTTCAAAATCTGAAAAGTAACTATCTATCACTTTAAAGCAGGTGTTCAGTATTTTGTAACTAAGAACAGCTTCATATTGCACTGCTTTTGTAAAACGTCCTTGGGCAAGCAAATGTAAGGATACAAAACGCTATACAACTAATGTAAGTAAGTAAGTAAGTAAACTTTATTTATATAGCGCCCTTCACAGACCAGGGTCACAAAGCGCTTCACATAGTATAAAAACAGACATAGTACAAAATAGACATACACATCTTTAAAGGCCAAGACAACCACGTAAAAAACAGCAAGACAAAATTATGCAAAAGCCTGAACAAATAAATGTGTTTTAAGTTGACTTTTGAAGCACTCTACAGACTCTATAGAACGCAGAGAGAGCGGGAGAACGTTCCAAAGCTTGGGAGCGACAGCCTGGAATGATAAGCCCTTTCCACCTTAGATAAATTCAGTGTAGGCTATCCCCATGTACTATAATCACATTAACTACATACATTCACACTGGTTACAATACATTTAATGATGATGTGTCTGTGTCACTATAGCGACATTAGACCAGGGCTTAGCGGAGGGTTCATGGAGTGTTCAGGGACATTATGCTAACAAAAGACACTGCTTTGTATCGGCCCAAAGGCACATACAGCTATCATTATAGGATTTACACAAAGCAAATGATCTGTTTGAACACAATTATATAGCATTAGTGATGCTACATTTACTTTACTACTAATACAGTCAATACTGTAAAACCACTATGCAATGACTTAAACAACACATATGCTTCTAGTGCAATTACAGTTTCGACTTTGACTGACTCTATACGTTTTATTATACTATAAACTCTAACTATATTCTTACATATAATACAATAACTTTCAAATATGAACCTAAACCAGTTCTTTATAGGAAACATTATTCAAATCTATCACACTATTTAGCTTTTAATCATGTTGCAATATTTCCCTAGTCAAAAACAGACTGAACTCCACCTCTTCTGTCTAAAAGCTTCTGTCTCAGTCTTGTAATACTATGATCTCATGGAACCACAATGACATCACACTTAGAGCAGTTTGCTGCCTTTTAGAACAAATTGGCAAATTCTCTGGTGAAAAGGCGCGCTTTACATGATTCACTTGGCTGTGGTTGCAGACAGTAATTTTCAAATTTGGGAAAAAATAGAAAAACAAATGTTAGTCCTGCCTCTGGTGGTAGCAGAGGGATAGGGCAGGTAATATCGCGTTTATTTACCCTTGAGACTTGTTTCACCATATAAATTAAAGTAAAAAATGTATTCTCTTCAAAAATAATCAAATGTCTTTAGGTTACTTTATCATCTCACTTTTGTTATATACTTGAATAGATATATGACAAAAGTTTTAGATTGACCAGTTTTGACAGCGCAATCTATCAAAACTGTCAAATAATTTAAAATGAATAATTATTTTACATATATACAGTATTTTTGTTCTTACAAGGTCAAGCCATAAGCACAAAGTCTACTGACAGCATGTATGTAAACACTTTACAATAGTAGCATTTGAATAAGGAAAAACATGCTAATCTTTGCCACAATTCTGGGCTTCCTGCACAAACATCTGAGTCTGAATCTACAAACAGGTCCGTTCAGATCAGCAGGAAATTCAGACAAGATGTTGGATGTTTAGAGTTTATGGATCTGGATGATGTTCCCATTCATCACATTCACCACAACATTTACACACACAGTAAACAAGGATACTCCAATCACCTCACACAACAATTTCAATACAAGGACATCATCACTGCAATCTACGGCTTCATCCTGATTTCATACGTATTTTTTATCTGAACTAGGGACACTTAAATCCTGATTTTTCTACCCGCTTTATTATTCAGATTGATAGTGAATATTAGGGCTTGGTATGGGCAAGAATCTGTGATAGAATACGTATCAATGAACTTTTAATGAGGACATCCATGATTTATGAAGAACACAGATCAGCACATTCAGAAGGAGTTGTCATCTTGAATTTAGGCCAGCAATCACAAAACAAAAGCTTGTATTGGCACACACACATTGGCACACAAACTCCACACAGAAAGGCCCTGGTATGGAGATGGAATCGAACCCAGTCTAGCCAAATAAAAACATGAACAATGATTTAAATTACTATAGATATTTTACAGAATAACGCACAATACGATCCTTTTTATTACAGTGAAGTTGAAGCATTTTAGTTTGGACTTATATAAAGGAACTGTAGGGGATATAACAGTCATTTATAAAATCCAAACAACTGAAATGTTCAAACTAGGTCTTTACGACTAAGCTTTAAAAACATAAAGACATCGGGAGTTGCCTTCAGAGTGAGGATGCTGACTTGTCGAGACCACCTTAAAGAACAACACACTTAACAAATACTGTATGAGCAAGGTTTCGACACCACCACAAGTGCTGGTCATGGCACGTTAAGGGATTTCCACCGGTGGCATCAACGTTTTAAGGATTTGTGTAAAAATAGTGTCATCATCCTTATAATTACCCAGCAGATGTTTTGGGGCTGTTAGACGTAATGATTAAATCCCACTGGAGTTCCCCTCCATATCTTTACTTATAGTCTGCATTTATGATCAGTAAAACAAGGCTGTACAATGACACTATGAGGCTTGTGATGTAAATGATCTACAAACTAATATTTATTCATACAGCACATTTCCCAAATTAATTGCACTTTGGGATCAATAAAGTTGTCTGAATCTGAATCACAGATCAATGTCACACAAAGCTCTTCATATTTTTTGTTGTACCCTTCATTTCCATTCACACACTCTGATAAAGCCATCACTATCTTTCACTTTCTCACAACATTTAGACCAATTGTACATGTACTTGGTGATGGGGAAACCAGAGCACCAGGAGGAAACCTTCACAGACACGGGTAAAATGTGCAAAATCCACAGAGAAAGGCCTCGTCTGGAGGTGGTATCAAACCCAGAACCACAAGCACAACCATTGTTTAAAAGTTGAAGTGAGAGATGGGAAGCTGTAATTCTAAGGCAGGAAAAGTTTATTGATCTAAAAGAAATGTGACAAACCAGAATGGCAAGACAAAGGATTTATTATAATGATTTATTGAGTTATGCATTTGCAGTGTGTAGACATCCTGAGATCTCAAAGATAAACGCTCAGTTACGAAGGAAGATGATCAACAAGTCCTTCTTAAATGAACCTGTGCAGTGTGTGTGGTATTGTAACGAGAGTCACAGTGGTGAGACAGGCCTCCTCTCTGACAATGTTTAAAACCAGGTTAAAGACAGTTCTGTTTAGCTGTGCATACAACTGAGGGATTTTATATTTTTAGCTTTCTTTTTAATGTTCTGTGATTATTTATCTTTCTTATTTTGTTCAGCACTTTGAGTTGCCTTGTGTATAAATTGTGCTATATTAATAAACTTGCCTTGCCTTGCCTTGCCTTGGTGGGTTTGAAGGCCACGGTTTGGGACAAAGAACAGGGAGGTATGACAAAGACTAGTCAAGAGATGCTAGTGCTTTTGTCCCGGGAATAGTCCAGCTCTGGTAGGAAAGTTGCCATTTCGTCCTGGCATGAAAAGAAAAAAATCATTCTGAAGTAAAAGCTCAGTTTGAGGAGCAATATTTTGACAAGGGAGTCTATTATGTAGTTAAAGAGCGACTAAACACCTGTGCCCAGCCTTACTCCGCCCACATGAAAAGTTGAAAATGTTCTCTAAAAAGGGCGTTGCCTGGAGGACCAAGGGACAAGAAGGGGGGCTTAGAGTTGGGCGTGGTCTGGGCTGTGATTGACAGCTCACTTGTCACACACAAAAAACAGACAGTTGTCATTGCTGCTTAAAGCAATAGTTTACAGACCAGAAAGTCTCATTCCACCCTTGTTTACACACTACGATAATTGTAAAGCTACACACCTGAACCTAATCACACTCAATAATCTCAGAATGACTCATGTAATTTAATTTTAATCCACTAGATGGCGCCAGAATACTCCAAACTGCAGCTGGGGCGCGTGTGAGAGTTGAATGGGTTTATACATAGTTCCCACAGACCAATGAATGTCACATGACCTCCTCGGAGACGCCATCTTTGATGGCACGCTGCTGTGTTTGTGCATTCCATTAAACAGAAGAATGAGAATAAATGTAGATATTCAAACGCAAATTGGAAAAAAAGGGCAACTTTTGAGCAAATAATTGTATATTAATACAATGGCACCACAGTTTAACGTGCTACGGACATGTTTTACATATTTGATCAAATTATGCAGCAAAAATTAACAAGCAATGCAAACATTTCTCAAAAACTTTAGATTTAATACCAGTTGGAGCTCCATTTAATTATTTTAATTATATTAACAATTAATTTAATTAATGCTAATGCCACACGGACACTCTGGATTGCTGTTATTGTTTATTTCCGCGTTTTTGACCGTATGTTTTGGTGAATGGTGGGCAACTGATTTTTCCAGGCGTAAAGAGCAGTTTATTTTATGACACAGATCTTTTTACAGAAGCAATGCAGTTTGTGAACATTGTTTTAGCCCACCATAGAACTATTATTATCTATTTAATACATTTACGTTGCCCTCGAGAGCCTCGGACGCGACACCGATCCTCCTCATAATAAAGTAATCTAAATAATGAAACTCTCAAGTTACCAGATATCAGCATACACAAGTTAGTACTGAGTAAATTACGTCTGTCAACACATTATAAGATACGATACGCACCTGACACAAAGTGCTCCGAGCATATTCTTGCGTGTTTTTGAGGGAGTTTCTTGCCTGTTTATCTTCGCAAGCCATAACCTCCGTGGTTGTTCTGACAAAAGCTTAGTCTTCTCACATTCATGAAGTCTAATGATGGGTATACTGTAAAATCCAAGTTTAACGGAACCTCCGGCACGATTTGAACATCCATTGACCCAGCAGGAGATGACCATTTTCAACTTTATCACGACATTAACACGTTTCAGCTTCTTTTTCTATTGTTTTGCCCACAGCATGCCAACACAAATGGCGCCGGGTCGGCAAATCCCCGTATGTAGTGACGTCATGTGGGAACTATGTATATCACTGGCTCTGACAGACTGACGTCACACAAAACAACTGATGTCATAGAGAACTTCAGAGTCAATGGAGAGGCCAGAACCAAATTCAAATGTAGTACCACCAGAAAGGTTGAGAGGGCACCACACAGCGTTTTTTGGCTCAAACGTGATATTTTATTTAATTTGAACTAAAATGTCAAAAAAATTACCAGGATATGTAGACAGCACTACAATAAACATACTTATGCAGTTTATGAGTTAAAAAAAGTTTATTTGGTGTTTAGTCGCTCTTTAAGTAGTAGTAGTTAATTTTTTATGATCTTAGTTGGATCATTGTCAAAGAAGTGAAGCATCAGGTGATTAGGGCGATGATGGACGTGAGAGGGTGAAAGGAAGGATTGAGTTGACTCTGGAAAGTTGAGGTTTTCAAGGAACACGGTGAAATGACCAACAATGAAAAGGCACAGGGTGAAATGGCACATCAGAAAATGGCACACAATAAAAAGTACACGCTGAAATGTCACAAGCAGAGCACAGTTCACACACTCGTCACCGTGAGCCTCAGAGTCTATTCTTGGGTTTCATATGACGTCAGGGCAGTGGCGCGAATAACAAATGTACAGTAGGACAGGACGTGACGTATCCTGGCGGTGCAGTCTGCCGGGTTTATACACGGAGATGTAGTAGAAGAAGAAGCGCTGTCAAAATGCCATCTTTTTGTGCGGTGTACAGTTGTAGCAACCGCGCAAATAGAGAGAAAGACAAGAGTTTCTTCCGTGTTCCATTTGTGGTCTCATATAAAGGAGTACACTTTGAAAAAAATCACTCGAATGAGGCGGGCGAGGTGGATCAAGGCTTTCCCAGATAAGCGCCCCCTGCAGGCCACCCGAATGAAACGCAGCAATTCCTTCTGTTTTTCTTTCCCAAATTGCCCAAAATCAAGACTCTTTTGAGAAATATTTTTTAGTACTTCCTTAGAATTGATGAAATGATGTTTCCTCGTACTATAAAAGATAATTATGAAGCTACAGCAGCAAAGGTGTTAAAATAAAACGCTATGGTTTTGTTAACAGTTTTGTAAATTGCCTCAGAGAATAAATAAACGTCACGTCAAAGTGAGAAATATTTCCATAAAAAGCAGATGGAAAATGTTGTGCGTAGTTGTTGTGTTGGTCCGACTCCAAATGTTTTATTCTTCACAGTTCAAGATGCATGGCAGTGATTATAGGTGTCAGCTTCAAATATTTAGAATTTTGCTAACAACTTTTGGAATGTTGCTAGCATAAGTAGTAAAATCGAACTATAATAACACATTTTTTTGTATCTAGTTATTTATAATAATAATAATGAAAACAATAATAACAATCAACAGAAAAGTACTTACATTTAGAAATAATCTGGCGCTGGCAAATCTATGAATGGGAGACCACTGTAATACCAGGAGCCACAGTCCAAGTCTGTGGTTTAACGGTACACATGAGATACATTAATTGTAAAGCATCTGAGAATAAGAACAGTGATAGAAAAATAGCTACTTTACATCACACCAATGATTCCTCTGGATGTGCTGCATAGAGAGCTGCTTTCAACCTCAATCCTCATTATTGTCAAAAGATACAATAGTCAAGGGAAGTTTATTTGATTTGCCTTGTGCTATACAAAGTGCTGACAAAACAAGATCCCCACACTCTCTGTCTCTTAATTTGATCGTCCTAAAATGCTGCCTGTCCGATACATTCTGGGAAAACAACAAATATCTTCCACAAAAAGTGCCCCCCCCCCCCAGGGTTCAGGCGCATGTCAGTAAAAGTGACTATAAATGAGTTTTAAACAGCGGTGCCATACAATCAACAGCGGGAGGCTTATTCTGGTGCTCCATAAACCTCACTCAGCAATGAACAAGTCTTTCAAGTCTCTGATTTGCCCCTCACCTGCCCTCCTCCTGCTCCAGCAGCCGTCTGTAGGTGGCGATCTCACGCTCCAGCCTCATCTTGGTGTTGAGCAGCTCGCTGTGGCGTTGGCGCTGAGTGGCCAGTCCGGTCCTGACCTGCTCCAGCTCCAGCTCCAGGCGGGTGATCACCTGGGACAAGTCCTGCAGCTGGGAGGAGTACAGGCGCTGGGTGTGCTGCAGGGACGTCTCCAGGCCCTTCTCCTGCACAGGGCAAAAGGATAAGGTTGGAATATGAAAGAAAATATAGTAGGCATAGACTTTAGAGAGGAGTGGACTAACATTGTGACATCACCATTAGCGCCAGCAGCTATGTCCACTTATATAGGCTATGGAATTGTCTTATTCGCACATTGACTGTCTCTGGGTCCTTCTATTGTTGAAACATTATCAATATTGACAAGTATAGATTGATAAGACCAAGAAGTGCTACTACTAATTTAGCCCGGGTTAAAACCATTCTTAGGGCTCGTCTAGATCTTAATCTACAATAAATATGACATTCTGTTGTCCACATTCACATAGATAACAGCAGCTATGACTAAAATATAAAGTTATTAAAATCACCATTAACCATAAAATCACCAAACCATCAAGCCATTGAAAAACCTCTAATATTACACATACAATTTCGAAGACTATTTTATGTTTTTCCTTTCATACATTAAAATATACACCTGAAAGCTTTGAGTTGTAGAAGTCAGTGTTCTTGTTGCAATTCAAACTAAACTAAACTTCTAATTGAAAATGCCACATGAATCTTAATTGCTTGTTGGGTGGATACATTTTGTGGGGGGCTGTCGTCTTGGATAATCCCACTAATCCCACTAATAAAGGCTTAATATTTTGCCACATTTAGAGATTTTATACTTCGTTATTATGTTAAAGATTAAAGATTTTATAATTGTGTCTTTGATGCTACAGTTACACATTTTATTTTATTTTAATTAGAATAGCTGTTGTTCATTTATCTACCTGTACATGTCATGATTAAGTCTATTTTTCTTATATAAACATGTTTGTTAATCAAATAAATAATGGAGCTTTCACATAAAATGGTAATACTCCCCGATGTGGCCTCCTGGGGAAAATAACGACTGTTTATTATTATTGTATGTTGTTTTATCATAACACAATGTTTTGGGGAGTTGCAGACTTGAACAGGAAGTCACACGTCAACTGTGATTGAATCCATTACTAGCCGTTTTGAGTTTGGTTGTCTGAGTTAATCTCATCTCTCAGTGACCTCATGTGTTGGTGCAGGTGTGTTGCTTCCGTTCTATTTATTTGGGAGCTAAACAAGCATTAAAAGGATATGTGAAAGTTATGATGTAATCTGGATACAGTTATGGCCGTGAAAGGAATCTATTCAAAAAGTATTAAGAGCATGAATGCAGAGAACTGGTTATGTAACGTCTATACAATTACACAACACCAAACTATGTCCGAGGAAATCCTGGAGTCGTCTGCTTCTTATATACAACGGTATGGTCAATATTAGATGTTGTTGACACGTTGATGGCTGAACTTAAAGCTATCGTATCAAACTTTAAGATATGAGAATCTTTATTTGTCCCATAGTGAGGAAATGTCGATGTTGCAGCGCACATACAGGAAAGTAAGAAAGAGCACCCAGGGAGCACACAAAATATACAATACAAGTAGCTGTAATGCCAGCTGTAAATGCTAGGTGCTATATTGAAGCATTTACAGCTATAAACACAGCAGCTACTTATTTTGTATATTATGTGTGCTCCCTGTGTGCTATTACTACTGTCTTGTATGTGTGCTGCAACATTGAAATTTCCCCACTGTGTGACGGACAAAGGATCTCTTTACTTATCTTAAACCACAAAAAAGGTATCTATACAAATCCATATAACTAGTTCCTCGCTTTCAAAAGATTTTGGCTTAATCACTGGTTTTCACATGAATATACTTCTTTGCCTCTGACACATTTTTGATCATCTTATTTCAGACAGAAAAGAGGACCACCCTCACTCAGCCAATCAACTCTCAGCCCAAAGACTCAAAATGTGACTCACAAGGCTCTTTCTCACAGCAAAAGAGAACAGCTTCTATAATTATGTTTATCTGCTGCTACTGGACACCTGAGTTTAACCTATGGGGGATCAATAAAGTTATCTATCTAATCTATTTGTCTATACATAATGCATTTATTTGTTTACTGAAGATTACAACAAATGGTTGACAAAATGTTTAAAGATTTTAGTATAATAAGTTGTCCTTACCATAGCATGCAGCGTCTCAATCTCGACCTGCAAAGTCTGCCACTGTTTTCGGGCTTCGGCCAGTTCTGCCCTGGCATCTCTCAGCGCCGCTCCTCCCATGTTCACCTGGGCCCATGCTGCTTCCTCCTGCGGGACAACCACCTCATGAGACATAAGCCCGAAACACAAGATTCTGCCTGTGCGCCTGATTCTGTTTAGCTACTGTTGTGGGATAGTGATCACGATAGCGAGACGAGGTGTCTTTCCTAAATGCAGAGTGAGCAGAGAGGCAGGTGGGGTCTGTCTGCAGATAGATAAACATCATGTGTGGACTCAGCTGGACGGACTGTTCACACCTTTAATATCTGTACACGTCACGAGACAGGTATTCTTGATGAGCTGTGCGAGTTTGGAGATGTTCTCAAATCAAGGAGTACAATGTAAGCCATGTCAACAAATACAAGATTATGGATTGTGTTGTAAAACCAAAAAATATTTCAATAGGTTGTAGAATTCTATTTTGAATCATGCATATATTTTGGGATAATATCACCACTTCTAGACAACTTAAATATATCAGAAAATATTTAGACCATAGTAATGACGCACTGCACGACGACTGCATATCTGTCTATATCTACATATCTATACCATATATGTGCGTGTATACATTTGACTGTATGGTATTGTTGTTGCATGATATTATGTTGAATATATGACAATATGACAGAGCTTTAGGATTATATAAGATTTTTCTTCATCCAACCCCTTTTTGAACCATGTTTAATTTTGTATTGCTATATTTATATCATGAATATTACTATAGAAGATGTGGAACTTTGTGATTTGTTTTTTTTTTTGTGTAGATTGGCCCAGAAATTATAGACACATTAACTATAAACAAAAATGAGTCTGACTTTTGCCAATTTTAAACCATAGGCTACTTGGAATGTTGGGATGTTATATGTAAAGTGATGCATTTACTGTTGTAACCTGGGTCTTGCCAGATTAGACAAAAAAGCACAAAAAGCTCTCACAAAAATGAACCATACAGACCATGGTTTACCTCCTCCAACTGCTGAACTAATTAAATGCCTCTGATGTTCTGTGAAAACAAAATACAGACATGTCCACACTAAAATTTCCAGTGGTAAATCATGATCTTATAGTAGCTAAGCTTTCATGTGCACTTGAAGGATCGCAACAAGAATACAAAGAACCTCAAATTTGGAGCAACAAACATTACGTTATTTCCAGATACAAGTGTGTGCTGCACGAGCTTTGACAATTCGAAAGCAGGTCCGATGAAAAACAAAAGTGTAAATGTGATTTACAACAGCATTTGAAATCTGCAGCCTGAGCCAAAGTCGCTGAGCCGAGGAGAAAGAACACTTTGAGAAATGAAAGGCATCCAGGCAGGAGTATCCATTTCCCAACAATAAAAAAAAATATGAACTTAACAAAACAAATCCATGCTTTGTCATTGAGAAAAACAGAAGAGTTGACTTGCTGAGTGCGAGTATTTGGGATTGTACTATAGATCACGTCGTACATTTTTAACAAGCACCGGGGGATCTTTTTACACATTGGGATGGCAAACCGCACTGTTACTCTGCATTAGTGAGAGGCAGAGCAGTAAACAGAGATAGACAGAGAGATAAATGTGCATACACAATAGTCTAAAGCCAGTCAAATCCTTTCACAGCTGTTAATGAAAGCATATGGACATAATAAACAGAGAAATGCCAACTATACCACTGGAGCCTATACAACATGTAGTAGTAGCAATAGTAATAGTAGTTTATTTGAGCAGTATACAATTTATTTTTACAGGTTAAGGACAAAGCTTAAAAGGAGAAGGCCGAAGCTTATGACATTCCTGATTTTTTACCGTCATCATTATCAGCTTGTTGTTGCGAACAAAAAACCCCAGCAATGGTTATCAATTTATGTTCCATATTTCACTGCAATAATACATGTGGAACTAAAAAAGTAGAAATAAAAGGTGTAGGCTTCAGTTGGGATGTTGTTTGGACTTTAGGTCAAATGGTTATTGCCTTGTCACTAATTCAATGTTAAATAACTTTAACACCACAACATTTAACAGTGTGGTAAAATTAGTTGGAATTAGTGGGTTCTTTCAAAATGTTTCGCATGCATGTATAGTTTGGCCTCTATCACATGTTTGTATCGGCCTTTTCAGACGGTCCATCCTCACTTAGCCAATCAGCTCTCACCCCAAAATGTCAAATGTAGTGACTCCCAAGGCTCTTTTCGATCAATCCAACAAACAAACAGCCTAGGCTTGCCAAAGTGCTGTACAGACAAGTGAAAGATAGCAACAATAAAAACATAGACAAATACAAAAATATGTGCATATAAAAGCTTAAGAGATGATAAGATGATACTAAATTGTATTTTTACAAGCCAATCTTTCAGTTGGAATGAAATAATAACAACAATGTATTATTACTTTTTCTGAAGATACCCCAGCTTTAAATACATGCCTTCGGACAGTGGATGAAACTTCACTATTCCGGCATACTGATGTGAAGCTGCTTACAGAGGCACTGATTAATATGCCTATTCTGAATTCAAATACATACGCAAGAAACTAAATTGGTAAATATGTTCTTTGTGAGAACGGCTACTGTTGTTGCTATAGAGGTCTTGTTGAATTGGCAAAGATCCAGCTTGACATTACATCCTTGACTTATGAATTGCGTACCTCTGGCAGGACCCCTCCGCTGGTCCTGGATGCAGCTCCGGAGCGACTAGGCCCGGTCGATCCGGGGGGTAGATTTGCCAAGTTTCCCGGGCTGTGGTGTCTGTGTCTGCGGTCGCGCTGCGTTCTGATTTCGTGCAGCTGGGTGAGTTCCATCACTCTGCCATCCTCCTGCTCCTCTCCTCCCCTGGCTCTGTGTGCTGCTGCTGCTGCTGCTGGGCTTGTGGAAGGGGCTAATAACAGAGCATCATTGGACTCGTCCCACTGCAGCGCCCGAGCAGCCTGCGAGGGGATGGAGGGGGAGAAGAGAGAGAGAGAGAGGGAAGAGGAAAAGTTTATTAGAGTTTTTCCTTGCAGATGGGGAAAAAAAATACTAATTAACTTTCTTGCAGGAGGACAGTGGTGATTATCCAGGAGACTAGACATTCAACAACATTTATGGACATTCATCAACAGTTATGGTCATTGGTCATCTGCCCCTTATGGACCAATGGCATGATCATTGCATTTATTGTGTTTGAACTGTTTGATTCTCTAATCTTTTGTTGAATACATCGAAATTGAAATTGAAGTTAGGGCTGAAGTATCTAACTTTCAAACCACAACAAATGAACTCTGTAAAACATCGTAATTTCCAGACTATAAGCCGCAACTTTTCTCTAGTTCTTTGAATCCTGCGGCCTATATTGTGATGCGGCTAATATGTGTCAGAGCAGAGTTTATGGACTTTTTATTTAGACACAATCAAGTTTTAGTAGCTATAGGACACTTGTTTATTGTCAAAATAGACTAGTGAACGATTACAGGCATGGAAGCTTAATGTGTTAAACACCTCATCATTAAATCATGTCAAACAGTTGTCTATCTGCTACATTACAACATGGAAACCTGCAGCTTATATTCAGGTGTGGCCTATATGTGGACAAAATTGACAAAATGATTTTATTTTCAAATTTAGATGGTGCGGCTTATACAGGTGCTCCAGAATGTATGGTAATGGTAATCATGGCCACATAACTAGTTCGTCACTCTCAAAACAGTTTAACAATCACTAGTTTTCACAAGCCTGCATCAACTTTTCCAGAGAGAAAAGTGGGAAGTAGTAACTCATCTAGGATTTTCTGAGATCAGATACTGTAAAAGCAAAGGAAGGTTTCTCACCCATCATCTGTACTTCTTAGCAAGTTTTCCCGACGTTTCGTCCTCAACCTGGGGACTTCTTCAGGGAATGAATTCTCGGACCGCGCGTTGGAGATTTATAACCTATGGGTGTGGTAAGCCACACCCTAATCCTGATACTAACTCGTAAACAATCTCAGGTCTGCTTGATGTAGAAGGGAGCAGATCTAACGACCCTGCTGAGGCTAACGACCCTGACTCCTTAGCATGTCACAGACCTATTGTCTGCTGGGATGCTCAAGTGGAGTGCAGGTTTCACCCCTCCTAACTCATTAGCATGTCACTGACCTTGTCCCAAGTTAGGGCGTTGTTTTTAGGATGTCGTCATAGATGCGAGGCAAAACAAATCTTAACCCTCCTCCTCTGTTAAGAGAAGGTTTTTGTTTCCTCACAAAAATGGCTTCTTTCACCCCTCTCTCAAACCAATTCTTCTCCCGAGCCAGAATTTTAACCTCTGTGTCATCCACCGTGTGGTTGGAGGCCTTGAGGTGGAGATGAACAGCCGACTGTGGCCCACTAGAGTTTTCTCTACGATGTTGGTAAAGACGTTTCTGTAGAGTTATATTGGTTTCTCCAATATAGTGGTCAGTGCACTCCTCTTCACTACATTTAATTGAATACACCACAATTTCAAACCTTTCAACACGTTAAGACAGAAATTAGTGCATCCCAAAGACAAAACACCCAGACACAAACAGAGCAATGTGGTGTATTCAATTAAATGTAGTGAAGAGGAGTGCACTGACCACTATATTGGAGAAACCAAACAAACTCTACAGAAACGACTTTACCAACATTGTAGAGAAAACTCGAGTGGGCCACAGTCGGCTGCTCATCTCCACCTCAAGGCCTCCAACCACACGGTGGATGACACAGAGGTTAAAATTCTGGCTCGGGAGAAGAATTGGTTTGAGAGAGGGGTGAAAGAAGCCATTTTTGTGAGGAAACAAAAACCTTCTCTTAACAGAGGAGGAGGGTTAAGATTTGTTTTGCCTCGCATCTATGACGACATCCTAAAAACAACGCCCTAACTTGGGACAAGGTCAGTGACATGCTAATGAGTTAGGAGGGGTGAAACCTGCACTCCACTTGAGCATCCCAGCAGACAATAGGTCTGTGACATGCTAAGGAGTTAGGGTCGTTAGCCTCAGCAGGGTCGTTAGACCTGCTCCCTTCTACATCAAGCAGACCTGAGATTGTTTACGAGTTAGTATCAGGATTAGGGTGTGGCTTACCACACCCATAGGTTATACATCTCCAACGCGCGGTCCGAGAATTCATTCCCTGAAGAAGTCCCCAGGTTGAGGACGAAACGTCGGGAAAACTTGCTAAGAAGTACAGATGATGGGTGAGAAACCTTCCTTTGCTTTGACTAATCCCTGTACGACTGAGGGCTTACACAAACTTATCAGATACTGTATACTATTTAAATATACTTCATCATCCATGTGTTGGCCCGGGAGAAGACCATCAGAGCAAACTCCAACAGACTCCATGGTCGGAATCTGGAGCCAAATGATAGAAACAACTTAGCAACAAAGGAGCCAATCAAAAGTGGCGCTGGTCTTTTTTCAGGTTGAAGCCAAATTATGAGATAAAAGGCACCTGAAATGTCAGTTGTTAGGGGAACAAATAGACAAGCACAATATCAAAAACAAAAAAAATAGGGCCATACAGAGCATGACACAAAGTTGAGAGGAAGTGAATGGAACAAAATGATGTCTGTGAGCACAAATGAGGCTTATTGCCACAGTCTATGGTCTCACTTCAGACTCAGACCTGATAGTCCTGATGCAGCTGCTGAAGTTCGCAGATGGATCTCTGGACGTGGTTCTTCAGACTCTCACTGCTCTGCTCTGCTCTGCCCCTGGACTCTCGCAGCTGCTCCACCTGCTGCTCCAGACGCTTCGTGGTCCTCTCCTCTGTCTCACACCTACAACATGAAAAAACGTATTGTCAGACCATATTGTAACGTCCCAGAGACATCCAATTATTCAATCCCTGCTTCCATATTTGCATTCAAGTGTTGATGTACTTTTTTCATTCCTCTTTTATTGTCAGAGCAATGTCTTTTGGAAAGCGGCCGACCTAGCTTAGGTAAGTTAGTAACAAAAATATATTAATACATTTATATAAAATGTAGTAGACATGTTTGGTTTGAGGTTCTTGGATTGAAAATTGTTACTTGCGATTATATTTGCAGGCATTTTTTTTAATCTGCATGTTTAGTCAAAGAAAGAATTTTATTTTATTTCATTCAAAGTTTTAGATTTTGCACACTTTTTATGTTTTTTGTTTTGTTTCAGTCAGCAAGCATTGACACACATGTAGTCTGATAGAGAAAATTAGATACTTTATTACAGATATGACTTTGAACTTAAAAAAGGCTCCAGTTTAAAAATCCTTGCGGCATATTCCCCTCTCCTGGTTCCATTCCTACCTTTCTGACCGCACCCAGTTCATCCAACTTAAATCCTTTTCCTCTCGTTCCTTCCCCATCACTTCTGGTGTTCCACAGGGTTCTGTCCTCGGCCCCCTGCTTTTACTAATCTACCTTCTACCTCTTGGTCACATTTTCCGAAAACATCACATTCACTTCCACTGCTTCGCGGATGACACCCAGCTCTACATCTCCAGCAAACAAGATTCCACCCTCAATAAAATCAAAACATTCTCCATCTCCATTGACGGCTCCTCCATTTCCCCCTCACCTCAGGTAAAGAGTCTGGGTGTCATCCTTGACAGCACCCTATCATTCACCGCACACATTAATAGCATCACCCGCATTGCCTTCTTCCATCTCAGAAACATCTGACGACTCCGCCCCTCTCTCTCCCCTCACACCACCGCCATACTCATACACAGCCTCGTCACCTCCCGCCTCGACTATTGTAACTCCCTCCTGTTCGGTCTCCCTCAAAAAACCCTCCATAAACTCCAACTGGTCCAAAATACTGCTGCCCGTCTCATCACACACACCCCCTCCATCAACCACATCACTCCTGTCCTCCAACAGCTCCACTGGCTCCCTATCACTCACCGCATCCAATACAAAATCCTGCTCCTCACATTCAAAGCCATCCACAACCTTGCTCCTCCATACCTGACTGACCTCCTCCAGATCTCCACACCTGCCCGCTCCCTCCGCTCCTCCTCCTCTTTCCAGCTCCTGGTCCCTCCTGCCCGCCTCGTCACCATGGGGAGTAGAGCCTTCAGCCGCTCTGCTCCCCAGCTCTGGAACACTCTCCCCCCTGACCTCCGTAACACCGACTCACTCACATTCTTCAAATCAACCCTCAAAACTCATCTGTTTAGACAAGCCTACTCACTAACATAACCACACTCTCCTCTGTCCATGATGCTTTTAACTTTGTATTTTAACTGTTTTAAAAATGCACTTTTTTTACTTGTATGTAAGGCGACCTTGAGTGTCAAGAAAGGCACCTAAGAAATAAAATGTATTATTATTATTATTATTATTATTCAGATTTTAGTTCAGTACTTGTTATAATTTTAAAAAAGCCATATTCCACCACTTTGATATGGGGACAATGCTAATTTTCATCATGGATAGACAAACCTATTCACTCTTATTATCTAATTCAATTATTAAACATAAATATACATTATTAGTACTACTATAGTAAATTTTTAGGTGGTAATAGCACTGATATGTGGACAACTATGAAACTGAATGATAATAAGATTCAGTAGCTATATATTTATTACCGTATAATCTATTGTAGCTCTACATTACAGGGAAAATGGCCTTGTCCTTGAGTGCACCACATTTTAAGTGACACCTGGGAGCTTTTAACTGAAGCTATTATTAGAAGTGCTATATACAGTATTTTCAACTGCAGTCTCTCATGTCCAATCTCTAATCTAAAACACGGTCAAACAATTCAGGAATACCAAACTCTACATAAATTTTGATGTGTGTAATGTTATTTGAGGCAAAGCAAAGCAAGGCAATTGTATTTGTATGGCAACTCAGAGTACTCAACAAAACAAGATAGAAAAGAAAGCATTCAAATAATAAATAATCACAGTACATGAAAAAGAGTGAAGATTCAGTTTTATGCACAGCTAAACAGATATATTTTCAACCTTATATGAACATTGTCAGAGTACAAGCCTGTTTGTCTTAAAATGTGGAAGACTTCCTTATTTTAGCTGCCTCCCCATGATTTGTCCTGACTCTGGGCACCAGCAGGAGGCCAGTCCCTGTGCTCCTCAGAGTCCGAGTTGGTTCATATGCCACTTACATGTCACGGATGTACATGTGCGAGTCCATGGAGAGACAAACTCCTTTAAAGTCTATTCTCATAACTCTCAACTTTATGTTTAGGATTCTCTTCAGTTCAAGTCATAAGGCTGATGCTATAAAGTACCATGTCTGTATGTAGTGTATGTGGTCTGTGAGAATGGGTGCCTGTTGACTGCTGTTGGGGGCAGTTATGGTGGGTGTCACTCTACATCAGTGAAAGTGCAAATGCAGCACAAAACCTGGCCTGGATTTGTATGCAGGTCGACTCACCGCAGCCGAGTTAGATAAGAAAGCACTAGAAAATACCTCTGAGAATATGGGATGATGGAGCAGAGCGTGGATGGCATCAGAAAATATGACGGCAGAGGTACTGTATGCTTAGTATTGCGAGGGTTATTGCTAGTCCCACGCATTTTTGTATTTAGTTATGTTTTAACTATAGAATCAGTAAATAAGTATCTCTTCAATCTGGACTTATTTTCAACTGGAAAAAACACATTACAGTGACAATCACACAATCAATGAGGTTCAAGCTGCTCCTTAGTTCTCTGTTCACATATTGTTAACTTATTTGTGGTTAAGTAAGTAGTTAATTCTTCTTATTACTTACTTCTCTGTCATCTTGTGTGAGCGACACTTTTTTAATAACAGTGTTTTTTCATAAATCCCAGGTTTTCCTCTGGACAAAGCATACTTATGATGTACACACAGGGGCCTCTTACTGCCATGGGGTGGACATTTTATTGATCTAGTTTGATAATTTTCCATTTTCTTGTTGCTTGAGTGTTACTTCCTGTCTGTCCAGTTGATTGTTTGCCCCACCTGTGTCTCCCTGTGTGTATTTAGACCCTGTATTTCTGTCCTCTTGTTGTCAGTCCATTCGGTTTTTACTTTTTATGGGCTTGGGGCTTTAAAATGTTCTGCAAAATGATTTATCAAATTCAATTATTTGGCAGTTCGGGTTTTGGGTCTTTCCTTGTTTTATCCTGTGACACTAACCCTACTTTCGATGTATTCTGGGCCTCAAACTTTGAATAGTTGGACTAAAACTAGACTAAAACTAAAGCATTAATAACAGCACAGTCTGACCTGGCCTGGATGTGAGCAGCTTTGGACTTCATGTTTTCAGACTGAAGAGCGAGGTCAGCATTTTCCATCAGAAGCCTCCCCACCTGCCACACAAACACAAGATATGAGCGACAGAGAAAACAAAACACAGCCTAAATAATCAAATTTATCAACAGCAACTAGGATTGTATAATAATTCTCCCAGGATGGTATATATGGTTAGTACATAAAAGGTCAAATACAATGCGATAGATAGATAGATCTATTTCAATAGTAAATGAATATAACATGTACAGTAATGTGCATGTTTGAAAAACCTATAAATTATTGAAGAGAGAGAGGCCCACAGAACGAAACAAGTGATGGGGGAGAGGTGTAAGGTCAGAGAGTGTTTGGGCCTGTTTTGTGTGTGTGTGTGTGTGCGTGTGGGTGTGTGTGTTTTGTGTTGTATGAAAGTAAGGAGTAGGAAACTAAATACGTTTTTTTTTTGTAATCCTGTCTATTGTTTTTGTCTTTGGGATTTCAAGTCTGAAATAAATACAATACTCTACTATATGATGTGTGTATGATTTATTTTTTTCACATTTGAAAACTAAACTTGTCTTGATCACAAGCTCTTGAAAAGTAAACCAATTTTTCAACACATCCAACACACCCTTTTTTCTTTTCTTTTCCCCACACTCCCAGAAAACGACACGCCTGACTTACACAAAATATTCCATAGAATGTCACGGCGCTGTGTAAACAATGGTATTTCTCCTCTCTTTGTATAATGTGTCCAGTTTCAGCGAGCTTAAGTCAACTTTTAAAACATGAATCACCGACAAGGGCATAATTATCTGTATTAAGGACTTGACAACTTCTTGAAAGGTCTATCACAGAAAGTAGACAGATAGAACATAAATTGAATCAAAATGAAAGCCGTTGTTGGATTAATGATCAATAAATCTCGCCGCGTCTGCTTTTCTTCCTGTCGTCGTCACGGGAACCTAAGCCAGACGAGCTGAGAACGAGCCAAGACAAAAAACAAGAAACACATTACAATATCAGGCAAGAACGTGTCGCTGAAAATGATACTTGAAACGGTCGCAAAAGGTTGGAGCCAACTCTGGCATCAATCCACAAAAGATTACATTTCAGTGTTAAAAATTCAATGTGACTATGAGAAAACTGTGAGGCAAGTTATTTTTCTAAACAAGGCCTGTCCAAACTAAGGCCCGAGAGCCAAACGTGGCCCGCTGTGACATTGTATGTGGCCCTCTGCCTTGCTAACACAAAGTAGCCATTGAGGCACTTTCACAGCATCATCCAGTCAACTTCAGCTATTTTGTATTGTGTCAAAACATTCCATATATGTCACTAATGCAGCTGTGAATTGTGCATACATTTGGACATATAATACCTAATTACGTTTTTTCGGCAGCACAGCAGTTAGGGCTCGTGTTCAATTCCACCTTTAGGCCTTTCTGTGTGGAGTTTGCATGTCCTCCCCGTGTCTGCATAGGTTTCCTTCTGGTGCTCCGGTTTCCCCTACCACTTAAGTCATGTGCAATAGGTTGTAATGAGTGAGTGAATGGATGGTGCGGATTGGGGGCTTTGATGTGTTCAGGGTCTCACTTCCGTCATCACCGTGAGGAGAGTGTGGAAAAATATTTGAACTCTGAACATTGTTAACACTTTGGATGACCTTGGTCTGAAATCTCCCCACTTTGGGACAAATATAGGACTATCTTCTTCTTAAAAATGCGCTATATAGATAAACATTCCTTACTTACTTACTTATTAATTCTAAAGCCCATGCAGAACAGCCCGATTGCAATCAAAACAGATGCATACCTGGGTTGTTGGTCCTGGAACAAGTTTAGCTAATTAAAGTGGCCCTATTACTAAAATGTTTAGACTTGGCTTAAACCATACACTGGTTTCTCCTCACTTATCACAAACAAGTGTCATTTTCACATGGTTCAAAGCTGACTTAAAGCTGGGGTACCTTAATTTCAGGCCGCAAAGCAAATAACAATGCTGACCCAAAGTGATGCATGTATTAATCCAACATTTAACACTAAGTACTGTACTATTTCAGTGGAGGTCCTCACAGTGGAAATTGTACAAAAACTAGAAGAGAAACTTTTTAAAAAACATTTTTATTACAGCAATCAGCAACATCTGTATGAAAACAAGCCAAAAAGTAACATGGTGCACCTTTAAATTAAACTACTGATTGTGCAACAGTAATATTAACAACAGTAATATCAAGAAGGCCCAGCAGAGGATGTACTTCCTGCGGCAGCTCAGGAAAGCCAAGCTGCCTGCACAGATGTTGGTGCAGTTCTACACGGCCATCATCGAGTCCATCCTCACCTCCTCCATCACCGTGTGGTTCGCTGGAGCCACAGTCAGGGACAAACAGAGACTACAGCGCATTGTGCGCTCTGCAGAGGAAGTGATCGGCCGCAGCCTTCCATCGCTGCAGGACCTGTACGTCGCCCGAGCTCGAGGCCGGGCTGGTCGTATCACAGCCGACCCCTCTCACCCTGCACATGGACTATTCCAACCACTCCCCTCAGGCAGGAGGCTGCGGTCCATCAGGACTAGAACCTCCCGCCACAAGAACAGTTTCTTCCCCTCTGCTGTTGGACTCTTGAACACTTCTTAACCTGTCCCCCCGCCCTTTATAAAGTCACTTTACTGCCCATCATACGTCACTTTACTTCACTGTACTGCTGTCACCTTACATTGTGTGCACCATGTGCACTTGTATATTGTAAATAGTAACTGTAACTCTATTTTAAATTTAAATTTATTCTTTAGAAGTGTTTTTTATTCTTATTTTTATTATCTCTTTTTGACTGTTGCACTGAGCCAAAGCAATTTCCAAGTCTGTGACCTCCCGTTACTTACGTTGGCAATAAAAATGATTCTGATTCTGATTCTGATTCTGATATTTATAAACCTCAGTATAATTATGCAAGAAAACATTTGTAAAATCCTTGTTAAACTTCTTTCATAGGGTTTATTAAAGTGGCTACATTTCCACCATTGTTAACATGCCACAATGAGTGTAAGGTAAAGGTCTTGGCCCTTTAAGTCTATAGTTCATGCCGCTCACATGATATCACATGTGGCTCATGCTGTTTACTGACTCTGGTCCACCACCTGCTGCCGTTCCCACATATATCATTATTATTACGGTCCAAACCTTCTATTATTTAAGACAAGTTACAGCTCTGAGAATGTATTGTTTTTGAATAAATATATTGGATTTAACCAATTAAATTATTAAACTAATAGTAACTGAACATGGTCCAAACAAGGCGTAAACCAGTAGCAGCCTGACCCAAATCTGCTCTTTGAAACAGGATCACAGTGGATTACAACCAGGACTATCCCAGTACTTACAGGCACTATACAGGAAAAAACCAGCACAAAACTAGGAATAAATTTACTAAATGACTAAAGTTACATACATAAACATAAACGTCCATACTTTAAAGAGTATCGGCAACAATACTATAGTTAATAGCAGCAAGCGTAGTTAAAAAAAACATGACCACTATACTTCTTGAGCTCCCAAACATACAGTGTTACTCCATCTATCACTCTTTTGTATTGTGTTGCAGTAACTTTTTTTTCAGTATTTGTTTGAGGGGATGTAAGTAGTAGTAAGTAAGTAAGCTTTATTTATATACCGCCTTTCACAGACCAGAGTCACAAAGCGGTTTACAATTGTTATTTTTGGGCACTTGTCCTCTCACTCCACACAGAGATGGGAGCGGGGTCGCCGAACAGGAGGCACATGCCAGACCTATTGTACATATTTTTAGTGGTAGGGGAAACCGGAGTACCCGGAGGAAACCTACGCAGACACGGGGAGAACATGCAAACTCCACTCAGAAAGGCCCTTGTCCGGCCGGGATTCGAACCAAGGACCTTCTTGCTGAGTGGCGAGAGTGCTATCCACTCAGCCACACATGCCGGATGCATTGTCATTAAAGATATATTAAAGCTGGGGTATGTACTGTGACTGTCTAACCACAAATTAGGGTACTATGTAATATATTCCCTCTAATTAGTTCCTCGCTCTTAGAAAATCTATAAAGATCTATAGTTATAGTTGTACTTCTGTATAGTTTTCGCATGTATGTATTTTTTTTGTGTTGTTCGCAGGTCTTTAGCTCAGCTTTTTCAGACAGAAACGAGAAAAAGAGGAGAGTACCCTTACTTAGCCAGTCAGCTCTTAGTAAGAAAGAAAAAGATAGCAAGGTTTGCATATAAGATGAAGACAGAATATTGTGGTCTGATTTGTACACACACAATTTTTGTTTAATAGGACAATATGTGATTTGGATGAGAAAAAAGTTTAAATCTGTTTAGTACCAGTTAGCCCAACAACTAGTTCCAAGCTGCAGTCTCTACTGTAGTTACATAAGTAAAGTGGACATGCAATCAAATTAAGCGAGTCATATTTGCATTCCCACACGTTCCCATGCACACCCACTCTCATTCAACAGTAGCCTGGGTCAGACCTGTTCTCGCAGCTCCTTGACCATTTGCTCTTGCTGGGACCACTCCTGGCACTGTGAGCTCCGCTGAAGCCCCCATGTAGAGATCTGAGCCTCCAGTCTGTGGTTTTCCTCCTGGAGACGGTTCACTTTCTCCAAAAAGACCCTCAGACGTGAGTTTAAACCGTGCATGGTCTGCCCCGCGTCCTCCAGCATCTTCTCTACCTGCACATGACCAGACCATTACGGCATTTACATACAGGCAAATCCATCCAAAACCACAAAAGAGGCCACCTTTCTCTTCTATGGGTTCCAAATACTTATTGAATACAACATTTTCAATAGTTCTGTGCTTATTGAAATATTCATGGATTTCAGATTTCTGTTTCATGCATTATTTTGAGTACCTTTTCTCATTCAAAAGATACAAATGTATATGTTGTCCAGTCCAACCAGATCACTCTATTGTATTGCCAGAAGTAATTGCACGTACGAATCTAATTGGATCACACACACCACTCTTAATCCAAACAAATTAAACAAACAAATTCTTATTAACTTGGTGACAGCCTGAAATTAAAATATATTTTTTGGAATATCATGATCAATTTAGTTGTTGAATTCGGTGTGTTAAAATAATAATACATCATTTTAGTGAAATGTGGGTGGTTCAGTTATACAGTATCTGCAAATGCATCCTCCATCGGTTTGCTTGTTCACGAAGCCTTGATACATAAACAGTACTAAAAAGGGGACGTGGCAATTGCTCTAAATATTATTACAAACCTATCCCAAAATGCCTTTTTCTTTTTGAGTTTTTCCTTGGCGATGCAGTTGGGTCTAAGGACAGTCATGATCCGGGACATTTAGGGACATTTATGAACATATAAGGACATTGGTCAACCCGCTCCCTAATGTAATCATAACAAACACAAACCGACAACTCCTCTGAGACAGCTGCTGTTGTGATTTAATGCTATACAAAAATGAATTGATTTTGAATTGAAGATACCCCATAGGTACAATAAAGTAACTGTCACCAATATATACTGTAATATGTAATCACACAAAGCTACAGACCTTGCTAGGAGTCCAATTAACAAAACCAAAAAAACATCCACAAAGCAGACGTTCGATCCAAGCGTTATGGCATGGTCTTCTCATACTCATGCACGCTGTATCTTTTAATACAAACACTTGGACTATAATGGTTATGGCCACCTCTTGGAGAGACAGCTGGAGGCGTTTACAAAGTCAATGTTTACCCAGTGATACTCACCTGAGCAGCGTGACTGGCCAAGGTTGAAATCGTGAAATGTAATAAACCGGCTGGTATAATGTCCTTTTGAGTGGTCACACAGCCCCGGCCCACCACTCCCAACAGCTTAGCCACATACCTCTGTCCTCAACTGGGCTTTTCCTCCCTAAGACGTGGACAGAATAAGCAAATATTATACTCAAGAAAACTGTTATGTCAATATCCTGTTGGCCAAAGTATATGTGTACCAACGTGGATCAATCACATATATGTTGATTATCTGTATGCTTATCAAAATACACTCAAAAATCAACTAAAGGTGAAATGTTATCAACTGGTCTCGGTCCACGGAATGTCATGACATCAATTGTTGCAACTCAAGTAAAAGTATTGGGCAGCACGCAACTATAGTAATTGATGACAAATCTATAGGCAAGGGAAGTGTATGTGTACCTAGAGACAGGACTAAACATGGGGAGGTAGTGTTTCCTATTCATGCAGCTAAAATCTGTTTCAGTCTTCCTGAAAATGTGAGACAGCCTTCGTGCATACAACCCTAACAAGTAAAGTCTACTTGAAAAAACCTTGGAAATAAATTGCACATTAACTTCACTTGAATTCCTCGAGTACATCCTTTACTTGATATTACCAAGTAAACTCAAGTGATTGCAATAAAGTTAAAATTTCAACTTATTCTCCAATTGGGATTTGGGAGGTGAAGGTGCTACCCACTCAGCCACCAGGCCACCCTTATTAAAGACTCTACATGTCAAAATATCAAAAGTGAGGCTCACTTGAATACAGACAGTTCAATTCAAAGAAAACCCTGAGTGATATAGCCAAGCTTACTAACAATAAATGAGTAATATTCACTTACTGGGAAAAATCTATTTAAAATAACATTGATATCTGAAGTACGATTGAAGTTAGGGTTTACAGTGTGAAGGATTTTGTCTTCACCCTTTTATGTGAAGTATGAATGTGAATATTTGTGACTTTAAAGCTTCATATGATTGTTTTTATTGTGTGTTGTTAAGCACTTTGAGTTACCTTGTGCGATACAAATAAACTTTCCTTTCCTTGTGTTGTATGGCAGATTTAACAAACAACCAAACTCAAACTGCTAAACCTTGTGCGATACAAATAAACTTGCCTTTCCTTGTGTTGTATGGCAGATTTAACAAACAACCAAACTCAAACTGCTAAACAAAACAACATAGAAACAGTCATACAAGGCATTAAAAAATCACAGTAGAATTCAGGGTTAGTTTTATAGTGATGTAGTAAAATAATATTCTTGTATCAAATTAATCAGGCACAGACATCAATTTTGTGTGGATTTGGACGATTAATTTACTCAGCTGCGAAGTGGCAGGCTGCTCAGGTTCCAGAAGTTAAATTCCTCACTCTTAATCCCCATAGAAGTTTAAAATAAATCTAAATATCAAGAGTTGTAAGACAAAATGGCAGAAAACTAATGTTTAAATATCATAGAGTACGTATTAATTCAAATTTTCACAGGGACGTACGTACTAATTCAGATAAATTCCAAAAAGGTTTTGCAATCTTGAATATATATTTTTTATTTTACACCCAGAACTTTAGGGAACTTCAACTTCACAGCTCAATCCCATTAACTCTTGAAGAAGCACAAACATAAACGCATTAAGCCTATTTCAAATGTGTAATTTCAATGTGTTTATGAAGTGAAAAAGTAGCAACTGTATTGTATTGTATTGTACTACTTAAAAGGCTTTTGGTCAATCTAAACAATTTGCCATTTCATTTTTTTACATATGCGATATCTACCATGACTAAAACTCTAAAACCTTAAACGCTCACTTATAATAAAAATGACAATAATAATAAAAGGAGCTTTAACAGTAAATTAGCTTGAATAACTTAACTCACGTTGTTGAAGCCTCCAGCTCATCCACAGGCCTCAAATCACACAAAACCCAGTCCTCTCGTGTCTCCAGTCTCTCTCTGTATCCTGAGTATCTGTATCCTGCGTCTGGACAGAGGGGTGTAGCAGCAGCTTCCGTCCCACCTCACCCCCCGGCGTCCGCGGACCTCAGAGGCCAAACTGGACGCACACACAGCTGCTTACATCAGTGCACGCGGGGGCTCTTTGTACCCTGTGATCCAGGATTATTGAGCCGCTTTTGAAACAGGCAACAACACCGACTGCGAGGGGAATGTTCACGCAGACACCCTCCGAAATGCATTGTGTGTGCGTTGTTTGGGGCTGCTGCTATTTTAGACTCGACAATGAAAGCTTTCCTACTCTGCAATCAAAGGTGAATTGTGTCACTTTGCTGTCTTGTAATGTTAGCTGCCTGCAGAGCTGGTCATTGTAAAATTACACAGCAGCGGCCGGCTGTCTGGGTCAACGCTGTTATTTTTTCTAAATATTTGTAAAGCTATTTCTTAAGAAGTCCCTATGAAAACTTATTTATATTTTGTATTGAGTTTTCATTGACAATACAGAAAAAAAAACACACACAGGTCCTGAGTGCCGCTATGCAAAGACAACTTACTGTACTTTGGATGGGTAAAAATTGAGTTTGTCATTTCTGTTTCACAAACCAGTAACTATGATCATTTAGTCTGAAAGAGAGCAGGTTAAAAGTCCAGACTTAGATTAAAGTATTTATAACAAAATATTCATCTGCGGACATAACAAAAAAAGTAATTGTTTATTGATGTGACCTGTCTCTGTCCAAATGAACTACTGTATAAATAAATAAATATTCGCAACGCAAGTATTTTATTATTTAAGTACTTTTTGATAATGCAGTACTTTAGAAACTGTGTTCGTGAAATGTGCTATATATATAACGTGGATTGGATTGCACCACTATCGATTCTATACTTCTATCAGAGGTATAATTTAATATCCCAAATGTTTCAATATGTAAAAAAACAAACTCCTTTATTGTATCCGATAATATTTTGAAAATGTGGAACTAGGAACATAAAACCAAGATGAGATGACCAAAGACTGATGTAATTCAAATTTGTTGGATTCATAAACAAAAATAAATTCATTACATTCAATCCAAACAGAGATGCAAAGATATAATTGGTGGATTTAATGAATTCAGGTTTAAATCAAATTGTTTTGTGCCATCACTACAGGTCAAGTGAGTTCCCTGGTGTAATGTATGTACAGTATGTGACTAACAAATAAGTACATATTAACCATAGCGTGCGTCTTATCAGATCCAGGGGGAGGTTAAGTACACTGTATTTACCCTCGAAGGCAGAATGGATTTAAATATTGTTGACATTATACATAAATCACAATTCAAACTGATATGATATAGTTTATAAGATAGTGCTGAACAGGGAATGATAGATTTTTTTTTTTTTAATTACTATGACTAGTTTTCACATGCATGCACAGTATTTTTGGCCTCTGTCGCATCTATGGAACAATTTACAACCTAAAGTGTCAAAGAGTGACTCATGTGTAAGATACTTTTGCTTTTACTTATGCCACTTTTACAAGACAAACAAAAGGTAAAATTTATAAAATAAGTTAGGTACTGCAGCATTAACACATGGAAATGATAATAGCAAAGAAACAAACACTGGAATTAAATTGTTTTGATTTGTATTTTGGGATAAGTATTTTTCCCAAATATTTCCCAGTTTGTTTGAAAGGACCTGGTGCCTTGTATATATACTGTATATGTGTATAAAGCATGTGTTTGTACTAAGATTATACGTACATGTCATAGGACAGACATAGGATAGAGTTAAAAGATTTTATTGATTTTTCATCTTTTAATTCTATCCTATGTTTTTATGATTGCGAGCAAGGGACCAATGCAAAATTTCCTTTTGGATCAATAAAGTATATATCTATCTATCTAACACTGGAATCAAATTGTTTGTTTTGTATTTTTGGGTAAATCTTTTTCCCAGTTGGTTGAAAAGGACCTGGTGCCTTGTATATATACTGTATATGTGTATAAAGTGTCTGTTTGTACAAAGATTATACGTATGTCACTTTCCAAGTTAAGTTTGTGTTTCTAAGTGTCATTTCACTTCGTCACTTAATTTGCTAAATATTTATTCTGTCCATATCCTATTGCTGCTACTGCGAAACAGCTTGCATATTTGTAAGGTACACGCCTACACTAAGTGCAATAAAAGTTTATTTATACTTACGCTACAATTTTTAAAACAGAGAAATTCAGCTTATTCTTTATTATGGGCTGCTGTTTATCTGATTTTGGATGCTCTTTTATTACCACTCCAAGTTATCTGCTCCGCAACACTGAACCTTCCCCACTATGGAACCAAGAACTGTAGTGTTACCTTACGTTGGTATTCCTACTTGTTAGCAGTTGTATGCTATATTTTTCTTTGTCCGTTGCATTTTGAGCACATCACCATAAGTGCCATAAGTTCATGAATATATAACAAAACACAAAAAGCTGTTAGGATTGAACGTGTGGCATGCTTGTTTGTTTAGTGCCAGGGCGCGGTGTACTCTATAAAAAAACACATAGATGAGCTGTTATCAAACACTCATGTGAACTAAAATAACAGATTAAATACAAGATCAGTGAGAAAGTGGTTTGGCACAAAGTCTGTTGTTACCCAACGGTTGAAGTTCCACAGAAATTCTATGTGTACAAATAATGGGGTTACTTTTACCTGTATGAGTATATTGTGCATTTCAATTCAATTCAATTTCAATTCAATTTCCTCTTGTATAGTCCTAAATCAAACAGGAGTTATCTCAGCGGACTTAACAAACCGTTAAAATCCACACAGCCGACACAGATCAGAGAATGAAACAATTCAAACACAAAGAATAGAGAACACATAAGTATTGGGAGTTGACCAATGTCCATAAGTGTTGAATATTGAGCGTCCTGGATCAGCACCATAGTCGTTTTAATCAGACCCACTAACAGTCTAAAAGACCCTCCTGCATTGGCAAGGAAAAACTCTAAAACCCATTTGTCTACTTAGTTCCTTAAATTATCTTTATGTCTTTTGGCAAATCATAATGTTTAGAAATGTTTTGATTTCTATCCATGCATTTGTCTCCAGTGGGTCAGACTACGATACTGTAACTGCTGCTCACTGGTCTCTCCAAACAAGTAGTAAAACAGCTGCTACACTGCAGCTCAAGTCCTGTCTAGAACCAGGAAGTACGACCACATTAGTCCAGTTCTCAGGTCTCTGCACTGGCTTCTTGTTGCTCAGAAAATAGACTTTAAAGTTTGTGTACAAGTCTCTCTATGGCCTTGCCCCAAAGTACATAAGTGACATGTTAGTTCCATATGAACTAACTCTGACTCTGATCAGCACTGGGACTGGCCTACTGCTGATGCCAGAGTCAGGACTAAACATGGGGAGGCAGCATTTCAGATTTATGCAGCTAAAATCTGGAACAGTCTTCCTGAAATGTGAGACAGGCTTGCCTTGTGTATCAATTGTGCTATACAAATAAGCTTGCCTTGATAAAGAACGCCTCTTCACACAATGTTAAACTTTTGGGTCAACACAGCAGCAGATCACAGGAGCACAAATAGGACAAAAAGTGACAGAAATGCTTGTGTGGATGCTGGAAAAATGTGTAATATTAAAAAATACAATCTTCAAAATGAATCCAGTTTCAGGCATCATTGAAGCAAGGGAAGCATATTTCGATAATAAACTATAGCATGAATGTTAATGCATTTCTACAGGAAGGGAAGAGCTGACTCAATTTCCTGAGAGGGTTTTACGGCAATTGTTTTAATAAGTCTAAAAATGTGCCCAGAGGAATATAGCTCTCAGTGATAAGCATTTCTCTGTGTTAATTCATTAAAGGATTACTTTGTCTGTCCAATTATCCAGGATTAGAAATGGGAGAATAAGTATATGATTATGACTAGTTTTTAGCAGTTGTATAAAATATTATTCCTTATTGGGTTCAGAGGATATTAGACTGTTTCACATCCAAACCCATTTGTAGTAGAGGCCATAGTAGTTAAACATGAATGATGACATAAACTAAACCAAACTGCACTAGTCATGTATAAAGCAAATAGCAAACGACTACCAGGAAACATTCAAAGGCTTCATTGTGAAAGTGAAAGAGTTTATAATTCAAGAGGAACATATCATTTCAAAGTGCCTTTTGCAAGAACATCAAAGAAAAGTTTTTGTGTATCTGTATGCGGAGTAAAATTATGGAATCGTATGGAAGCTTGTTTAAAACGGTGCCATAATATTGATAATAATACAAATAATAAAACAATTATTTAAAAGACAGTCATTTTGTGGATATCGAACAGAAGCATTGTAATATTTATACACAGCTTTGATTATTTTCTTGTGTCGTTATTAGTTTTTCTTGTTGGATAATCTTGATCTAGGGAAGTCAGAATGTTTTTCAAGTTTTGTTATATTTATAAGTAGAAAAGGGGGCGGGGTTACATAAATATTATACTTCTTCCTGCTCCCTTTCAGACATGATTGTTTAATTTATTTATTCCTTGAGGGAACAAATTGTACATACATACATAATACACATACAGTGCCTTGCGAAAGTATTCGGCCCCGTTGAACCTTTCAACATTTCGCCACATTTCAGGCTTCAAACATAAAGATATAAAATTTTATTTTTTTGTCATGAATCAACAAAAAGTGGGACACAATCGTGAAGTTGAACAAAATTTATTGGATAATTTAAACTTTTTTAACAAATGAAAACTGAAAAGTGGGGAGTGCAATATTATTCGGCCCCTTTACTTTCAGTGCAGCAAACTCACTCCAGAAGTTCAGTGAGGATCTTTGAATGATCCAATGTTGTCCTAAATGACTGATGATGATAAATAGAATGCACCTGTGTGTAATCAAGTCTCCGTATAAATGCACCTGCTCTTTGATAGTCTCAGGGTTCTGTTTAAAGCGCAGAGAGAA